AATGGGATATAACTTCTTTATTATGGGTTAAAATGTAATTCTCAAGATCTGTTGGGATTAAAGTGATATTGTGAATTTTTACAGATTTATGTCAGTGAAAAAATACAGAAAACATAAAATTTAATTATCCTTTTTTTATTGAGCAATCCTGAGGATCCTAAATTTGAGATCTCAAATGACTCTGGATCCTTGGATTAGTGGTTCATGTGAACTATTTTTAACGAGACTCATTTATCTAATCGAACCTAATTAATTGGGATATCAAATTTAGGATTTAGGCAGTGTTTTGATAAAATTAAAAATTAAGTACTGAAAATTGAATGTTGAAATTTAAGTATNATATCATTCTATAATATCATTCTATAATATATTTCAATAAATTCATCTTACGTTCTCAAATAATTTCATTCAATGATCACAAAGATTTCTCAAAATCATTCATATTATATTATACTTTTAAACAAAAATTACCCTAGTACACAATAAACCACAAAATGGGATAAAACTTCTTTATTATGGGTTAAAATGTAATTCTCAAGATCTGTTGGGATTAAAGTGATATTGTGAATTTTTACAGATTTATGTCAGTGAAAAAAAACAGAAAACATAAAATTTAATTATCCTTTTTTTATTGAGCAATCCTGAGGATCCTAAATTTGAGATCTCAAATGACTCTGGATCCTTGGATTAGTGGTTCATGTGAACTATTTTTAACGAGACTCATTTATCTAATCGAACCTAATTAATTGGGATATCAAATTTAGGATTTAGGCAGTGTTTTGATAAAATTAAAAATTAAGTACTGAAAATTGAATGTTGAAATTTAAGTATTAATTTATTTATTTAACCTGCAAACTATCAACGGTTCGATGTGGGTAGTAAGGGTAATGAGGGTGGTGGTGACGACGGGGTAGCAATAATAATGATAATAGTAGTGATAGTAGCCTCTACCACGACAGTAGAGCGATGACATATTTGGTGAAGTGATAGTGGGGGAAAGGTGGGTGATGGTTATAGGGCAATAGTAACAATGGTGGTAATTATGGTGGGGTAACAACGGTGGTAGTNAAAACAGAAAACAGAAAATTTAATTATCCTTTTTTTATTGAGCAATCCTGAGGATCCTAAATTTGAGATCTCAAATGACTCTGGATCCTTGGATTAGTGGTTCATGTGAACTATTTTTAACGAGACTCATTTATCTAATCGAACCTAATTAATTGGGATATCAAATTTAGGATTTAGGCAGTGTTTTGATAAAATTAAAAATTAAGTACTGAAAATTGAATGTTGAAATTTAAGTATTAATTTATTTATTTAACCTGCAAACTATCAACGGTTCGATGTGGGTAGTAAGGGTAATGAGGGTGGTGGTGACGACGGGGTAGCAATAATAATGATAATAGTAGTGATAGTAGCTTCGACCACAACAGTAGAGCAATGACATATTTGGTGAAGTGATAGTGGGGGAAAGGTGGGTGATGGTTATAGGGCAATAGTAACAATGGTGGTAATTATGGTGGGGTAACAACGGTGGTAGTAGCGTCGATTATTACAATCATAGTGGTGGTGGTGAATGGTGGAAGTTGAAAACTTAGAGTATGAAATGGATTGAGACCAATAAATTTGTCCATTATGATGAGTTTATAAAATTCTTACTGATTAATTTTTTCAACATTAAATCATAGTCTATTTTTAAGAAGTACTTAAAATTTTAAGTGGTATAAAATTTAGTTATCAAGCACACTTAATTAAAAAAATATTGAAGACAATTGTTGTTGAATAGTTATCAAATACCACCACAGTATTTCCCTTGTTTCTCAGAGATCTAATGTAGTGTTACAGTTGAATTGTAATTGGATCATTCCAATGCTATAATCCATTATTTATTCAATAACAACAACATATTACATTTTGGACTCACAAATTATGTCTCACTCACATTGCACTAATAATCCAAAAAAGTTGGTCCCAAGAATATAAATATAATGAAAGTTCAATTTTATTATAATTTTTTTTCTAATAAAAATTAGCCTCATTTGACGAAATAGGAATGAAAAATCCAAAAGCTTAAAAAAAAAAAAATGCACAGAACCAATCAATTTGTCATTTGTGTATTGGATTACAAATCGAGAAGTACCACTCGATGGTAAATAGCGCAATACTTCTTCGTAAATCTCTACTATTTGAATATGTCGTAACTATAAAAAAGAATTATATATATATAAATTCACAACAAAAAAATTTACTTGTCCGCTCTTATTTTTATCTTTTCGAGATCTCAAGAAAATGTTTTATAAATTTACAATAAGATAAGATAATTGTCACAATTTATTTTCATAGTAGTAAAAGGGGTAATTCATGTTTCTTGCTAACCTAACTCACTTGTTAATTTTTCTTTGATTGTTTTATTTTTGGATTTGTTTCATATTTTTTTCGTGTTTTTGTCCAGATATTAATCAAGGCACGGCACTAGATAGAGCTTGAGGGCGTACAAATTAGTACCTAGGGCCTTCATCATCAACTAGAAATCTATCACAACCTAACCTATAGGCAAGTGTATGTCCCATGACACAAAATAATACAGTACGACACAATTGAGATGTACTTAACAAGTTATCAATTGTTTTTAAATCATAAATATGAAATATTTAAATTTTAAGGGTGAAATTTATAATTAATCTAAATTTTTTTAACTGCAAAATAGATAGCAGATGACCTCAGTTGTACATTGATACGAATTTATTTTTTTTGGGTGTAAATTAATATTTTTAAACTTTAAAGATGTAAATTGAGATTTGAGTAATCTTTCAGGTATAAGTTGAGATTAACCCTATTTTGATGAAAGTAGTGGATATCATAGATTTAGTTTATTTTTAATTTTAAATTTTAAATTTATTTTTTTTGGGTCATGGGCTTGAATTAGTCCATATAGAAAAATCTTCATTATCTTAAGCAATTGGAGAAAGAAGTTAATTCCGTTGTGTATCATTGAATTCGGAAACAAAGACCAGTTAATGTCAAATATTTTGCTCGAAAAAATTGTGTGCAAATGTTTGGGATAAAAAGTAGACTTAAAATATAGACTTCAAAAGATAGTGAATTTTAATAAATATTAAGACTCATAATAAAATTAATAATTTTAATTATCAAGTCAATTTTTTATGACATTGCTCCTCAACCTATAGATAATAGGAAATCAGAAACACGGACTAGAATCAGCCCAAATTCAAAATTGACGGGGTCACGGTCCATTGAGGCAAGAGGAGTCACTTCGTCTATAATCCTATGAATCATTTAAAGGTAGTATTAACTATCCGTTATCTCTTATAGATATCTTTTCGATCTATAACAAACTTTTCAATTGCTTTTAGCGCATTAATCGACCCAGTGTCTGAGGACCAAGGAAAATGATTTTTCAAATTGTAGCACTCCAAATTTGAGTGCTTACTTCAAGGTGATTTTTCCTTCAATTATTGGGTGCTCGAATGCCTAACTACGCTAATCAATAATTGATGATTGACTTTATCATTTTGACTAACGAGGAAAATTAAAATAATTTTTTTTGTCTAATGTAATAATGCTATCCTTGACAAATTGCTAATTGATCAGAACTAGTCAAGTAATGTTCCCACAATTCCAAGGGGAAGTTGACATTACTGGAATGAAATGAAACATAGATATGTATAAAAAAAAAAACCAACATGAGGGTGTTGTTTTTAATTCTTTAAGGTGGGAGACTTGTTTAGACTTGCAAATTCCCAACTCTAAAAAAGGTTCATTGACAGACTTTTTGACACAAGTATGCTGTTGAATTTTAATTTTTCTTTGATGAGGATGCAGAGTTAAACTTGGGTTATCTGGGAGTCCAATTTAGAACCAATTCCATTGGCTTTTTTTTCATATTTTATGTGAGAGATGATGGTTCTTAATACGCCCCCGTAAATTTAACACGAAAGCAAAATTAAGTTATGTGATATGATTTAGTATTACCAAATTTGAGTTCGATAAATAGATCGATGAAAAACAAACTATATATGACTATGATTTTGCTGATGGAGGAGATATGATATCAAAATTTATCACTTTATAAAATTAAGTTAATTTTACTTTTTGAAGTCAAGTTATATGCTATGAATCCTCAGTCGAGATGACTAAGTATCACTTATCAAAGAGCTTGTAAAATATACATTGAAATAACTTAAGCATCTAAAAACAACATAGAGGAATCTTTATAAGTTTTGCAGTCAGAGGTCATGAGACGCATGTCTGACGCAAGTGCTAAACTGTTTGTTTAGTATTATAGAGCATCTTCGACTATAACTTAAATTTTTACTCAAATTAAATTAATATTTGAGTAAAAAACTTAATTTGATATAAAGGACTCCAATAAAAAAATTCAAATTTAAAGAAGAAAAAATTCAAATTTAAATGTGAACAAAATCAAATTTAAAAGAGAATAAAGATAATAATTGGATCTTTAAAAGCGGGTGAAATATCAACATTAAAAACATGGGAAAAGATTCAAGTCTCTCTTGATTTGAGTAAAAAAAAATAATCTCCTTTGATTTTTTATAAGTTTGAATCAAGAGTTGCAATAAGTTTTTTGGGTTTTTTTTACTTAAATTTAAATTTGAGGCTAAATTTGAGTCAAAGGAAAATGCTTTTGGTCTGTCAGTTTACCAATTTTGCAGGAAGTGTGAAGAACGTTTTGATCTGGAAGCCGTGTCAAAGCTGCCAAAGATTTCAAAGTAAGACTTATTAGGTATTTTGAAAACTCTTTAAGTCTTAACCATTCATTGACCTTTTAGGTTCAAGCATGCACTGTTGGTGTTCTTGCACGTTATTCCTTGTCAGTTGTCACATAATCACCTTAGCCCAAGTCTAAAGAAGTTAGAAGTCAATACTGTTCATCTCTTGGTCACAGGCAAAATTCTTGGTCAGCATATCTGAATCCAAGACCAGACAACTCTCGTAAACATCTCGAATAACATTGACATAAAGCCGCAGAATTAAACTGACAATTTTCTTCCAGGAAACCTCAATGGATCCAAGACTATACAGCTCTGCAAAAACAGGCAACATATGTCTCCTCAAGCAACTTCTCAACGAAAATCCAAGCCTAATTCTAAAGCTAACCCCCCATGGAAACACACCCCTCCACATTGCTGTGCGTTTCGGACACAAAAACATTGTTTCTGAGATCTATAATAGACAATCCTCCCTCCTCACACAAGAGAACTTTGATGGAGACACACCTCTACATGTGGCTGCAAGGGTCGGTCACTTTTCTGTAGTTGATTTTCTGGTCGCAGAGGTTATGTATTCATCGCAAAGAGATATTGAAAACGGAGGAAACTTCAGGGTTGAGATATTGAGATTGAGAAATGGTGGAAATAACACAGTGCTGCATGAAGCTGTGAAGAACCATCACCTTAGAGTGATCGAATTGTTGATACAGGTTGATCAAGAATTGGCTTGTTTCACGAACAGTGCAGGCGAGTCCCCCTTGTACTTGGCTGCTAGAGATGGAAGTCGAGAAATTATGAAGCGGATACTGATGTTGGCTCCATCATATGCTCATGGAGGACCAAATGGCCAAACGGCTTTGCATGCTGCTGTGATTGAGGGGAATTTTGGTAATTCCAGGCTTTCTAGCTCTGTATGATTTTGTTGCATGTACCTATACACAGAAAAAGTAGTACTGGTTTTCTTTAGCTGTTATTGGTTTGTAGTCACAACAGATGCCTTGATTTGTTAAGCGAAATATCTAGCTATGTCACTGCTTTTTAGGTCTGTGAACTTGCTATAGAGTAAGGGCTGCTAAAAAGAAACTTCGTTAATCACCTATTATTCCAAAATATAGAAGAGATAGAGAAGGGTAAAACATAAGCATTTATCTTAATACCTACCCCCCCTCTCTCTATCTCTCAAGTAATTCATACATGGTTTTGTATTGTGCATGAAGATTAATGTTGTTAGTGTTATTTGAATTCTGGATCTTTAGGCTCTGATACCATATTACAACTTAAGAGTGGCTGGTGAGGACATAATATCAGAATCTCACCTTCAACCTTTCAACCTTCTACTTTTGTCTACTTACAATTCTGATTTACCATTATCAACGCCGTCAACCTCAACCTCAACCACAACCGCAATCACAACTAGGATACCCACCAGCGTTAATCTCCCCATCAGTAATCATGTTACACCAACATGAGCATGTGAATGGACCAACCAAAAGAGATTACACGTGAGAGAGAATATAAATACGTAAGTTACACCCTGATGCAAGTTGCAACCAGTTTTCCAGTACAATTACAGGTCTGGATGAATTAGTTTAGGGGCAGTTATACTATTAAGTTTTTGGTTTTGTACTCTGTGTCAGCTAGCAACTTTTTTTGTTAGTCAATTTCTTAAGTGATTTTTTGACAGTAGGTTCTTGGAACTAGGATATACTTGAAGTGCTAGTTGTTTCTTTTGATCTAATGTAGTGGAAAGTATTTAGAGCTGTCTCCTAGAATTAAGACCATATAAATTGGTGTGGAGCTGTTGTAACTCAAATCTTTTGTTGAACTAGTACAGCTATGGAAGATAATTAGTCTCGACTTCGTTTCTAGGATTATTTTCAGCCATGTCGGGCTTGTTTTTACAGCAGTTTGAGGTTGTTTTGACTTTTGAGTCTCAACTGCATCACATCCATTTCTATCGACTTTGATTACAAAGGATATAACCAGATATGTCTTATTGCTAGGTTTTTCCCTATAATTATTAAAATGTAGCAAATGGCCAAACCAATTTGACTCTATATTGGTTTAGTTAGCCCAGGGACCGAGAAGCCAGTTGGGGAGCAATTAGTTTGTATCTTTGTCGTTGGCTGTGACCAGCTGGAACATAACCAAGTATTAGTTCATTCTTCCAATTCTGTAAGAATTTCTATTAGTGAAAAGAAGAAAGCTAGACTTAGAGTTCAGACAATGCCTGTCCAGGTTTAACTTATGTGTTAGATTCCGATGATTTACTTCGTTTTTTGTGCTTTCCAGATATCATGGAAATGATGCTGAGAGTAAAACCACAACTAATTAAAGAGTCGGACCATCATGGCAGAACTCCACTCCACTACGCGGCATCCTTGGGAGACCACAGGACTGTTCGAGAGTTACTGAAACTCAATACTGCTGCCACATATATATTGGATAAAGATGGTCACTCACCACTTCATGTTGCAGCAAGTGAAGGCCATATCAGAGTAATTAGAGAAATTATTCAATGTTGCCCTGATTCTGGAGAACTGCTGAACTTAGGCGGTCAAAATGCTCTTCATGTTGCGACCCTAAATGGGAAAGTAAATGTAGTACGTTACATGCTACAGACAGAAGAGGTAGAGGGGCTCATAAACCAAGCAGATAGCAATGGGAACACTCCTTTGCATTTGGCTATCATGGGGAGAAAAACCTGGATTGTCCGTTACTTAATCTGGGATGGGAGAGTTGATCAAAGAGCCAAGAACAAGAGTGGACAGACAGCACTTGACATCGACGAGTCAATCTGGGGGCATTTTCAAACATTTCCAAGGGTACCTAACAATTGTTCTTAACAGTTCATGTTTGAATTCTCTTATTTCTTTAGTATTCCATTTCCCATCAAAAATATCCCAATGGTATCATGCTCATGATTTTGCAGAACTGCTAGGACTCAAGGATCATCATATGTTTTTAATTGATCGTATATACCAAATGTTCAATGCAGAAATCAAGCATTTGGAGATGCTCCAGCATCTCACGTTCATGGATCATTAGAGAAAAGTTCTCCTCGAAGGGAAACCAACAAGAAGAAGCAGCAGCTGCTACAGTGAGCTACAGGCAAATGGGTCACACCCTTTTGATGGTTGCAACACTAATTGCCACAGTCACATTTGCAGCCGCATTCACAATGCCTGGTGGCTACAACAACGATGTTGGCTCTGACCAAGGGTTAGCTCTTCTCCGAACAAGGGAAACTTTCAGGTGGTTCATCATTTCCGACAGTGTTGCCATGAGCTGCTCCATAATTGCTGCTTGCATCATATTCTGGGGTTCCATCATCGCTAAAGAATCCTATTTTTACTACTTTACAAGTGCTACTGTCCTAACATACATTGCATTACACTCTACTGCCGTCGCTTTCACCACAGGTGTGACTGTTGTTATGCCAAACGAGCCGTACATCCGTATGATGAGCCATATAGTCGGATCAGCATTCCATATTAGTACCTGTTTGCTTCTTTTCCATTTGCTGCAGATCTTTCGCATACATGAAGTTTATCAGTTATCGGTCTATCGTCTCTGTAGGTTCAAGTCCAAATTTATCAGAGGATGGAAAAGAAGCTGCTCTAGATAACACAATTCTAAATTAGCTGTAAATGATTGCAGCACTGAATAGCTAATAGATATCAGAAGTTTTAATCTATTTCTTCTGTATATATGTACTAAGTTTTGTTTCAATTTCATTGCCTACCATGTAAAATCAAATTAGTAGTATACGATAGCATCACAACTTCGGTTACATGTGATCTTGGTGGTAGTTGTTATGTCACAACTTTGGTGAGTCAACCCGAGCTAAAGCCAAATTAACCTAGTACATCATAGACGTTGGTGTCTTAGGTTTTTGAGACTCAATACTATACATAAACCAACTTAGGTATCCTCAACCCTGACTCAAATTTAAATTGGAGTAAAAAATCTAAAAATTTTGTTCCAAACTTTAACTCAAATTTACGCCAAATCAAAGAATTTTTTTTTTTAGACTCAAATTGAGGGAGACCCAGACTCTATACTAAAATTCAACGATAATTTTTTCTCCCCACTGAAGCCCTCTTCTGTGTGCGAAATAGGTGCTTTTGCTAGGAGGAACGACGATCAAGTGTCTCAAGGTAATCTTCTTCCCTCTTCATCTTCTATCTTTTTCATTTTCATCTTTTATTTTCTTCCCTTCTCCCATTTATCTCAATACCTAGTTCCTACCCAAATTTTTTTTGTATAAACCCTCATCCTACCCTTCAAAGTATAGAATGATGGCATACGAATCAATCATTTGTAGATATCGAATTTGTGGCCCTTTCAATTGCTCATATTGCGTAGCTTCACATTGGTGATTTCTTGTCGAGTATTAGAAAATTTATATGGAATTTTGGGTTTTTTTTGTTTTTTGTTATTTCTACTTTGGTTGTGACATTTTTGTGCAAGTATGTGGGAAATCTACTTGCAATTGGTAGAAAGCATCATATGTTGAAAATATATAAAATGCTCCAGGAGGTTTATTCTACAACCAGTTACCAATTTTGAATCATTTTATTGGCCAATTTTTCTTGTCACACTTCTTGATCCATTTTCTTTTTATTTTGATAGTAACTGATTTAATATTTTAGTTATAGATCTTCATGTAGATTCTCAGTTATTTATATAAAATATAGTGTATTCTCCAGCTTGTGGTGATTCATTTTAGAAGTAAAACAACTCAAACAATGGATGATCAAAAATTCCCCCTTCTTAGAGGAAACTCATGGAATAAAAATTATCTCAGGAAAAACATGTTTTTGTGGAAAATTTTAAAAAATGAGCTTTTGAGACAATATAAAATTTTTTTAAAAAGATTTATAAATAAATATTTAAAATTTTCCATTAGAGTGGTATGTATCAAATTAAATTTTTTACTCAAAATTGAGTAAAAATTTGAGCCTCTATTGAAAATGCTCTTAGAATTTTCATTTCTTATGATGAGTCTTATATAAACACTAACAATAATTTCATGCCTAAAAATACTCTGCAAAAAAAAAAAATTGAATATTGGTCGTATAATATTTTTATTTTAATTACACAATTTANAATTTTCATTTCTTATGATGAGTCTTATATAAACACTAACAATAATTTCATGCCTAAAAATACTCTGCAAAAAAAAAAATTGAATATTGGTCGTATAATATTTTTATTTTAATTACACAATTTAAAATTAAAGTAAACAAACACAAAATTAGAGAGAGATAAGAGAGCGAGAGTGGAGATAGATGAGAGAGGACATCTGGCAATGGGGACTATGCAGAAAAATTAATATTTTGTGGCAAATTTTTTTTTTTTTTACATGATTTTGTATAATAAGATCAAAGTAGATAAAAATTAATTTAATTTTGATAATTATTATATTTTTATAAGTTGAGAATTCAATGTATTAAATTTTAGTATCATTATCTTATTAGTTGTGTGAAATTGATAATGATATTTTAGATATTCATTTGCGAAAAAAAAAGGGTAAATCCTTGAAAGATATAATTTTTTTTTAATTTATTCCATAAATAATTAATTTTTTTTTTGTCCTTCAAATAAATAAAAATATTATAATGTGGTATATTATCTTATTTTTTGTTTGATGGTTCATTTGTTTTGTGTCAAATTAAATAATTAAGAATNAGGGTAAATCCTTGAAAGATATAATTTTTTTTAATTTATTCCATAAATAATTAATTTTTTTTTTGTCCTTCAAATAAATAAAAATATTATAATGTGGTATATTGTCTTATTTTTTGTTTGATGGTTCATTTGTTTTGTGTCAAATTAAATAATTAAGAATTAAAAAATAGACAAACGTCCAAATGAAAATAAGACAATTGATAATATTATAACGTTTTTTATTCTTTAAAAGGTATAATGCGAGAAAATTAATCATTCAAGATGCAAACTCAAAATTTTGATATCTTTTAGGGGTCAAAATGAGATTTTCCAAAACAAGAAATTGTAATTTAACCCCCAAAAATAATAAATTNTTTTATTTAAAAGGTATAATGCAAGAAAATTAATCATTCAAGATGCAAACTCAAAATTTTGATATCTTTTAGGGGTCAAAATGAGANTATTCTTTAAAAGGTATAATGCGAGAAAATTAATCATTCAAGATGCAAACTCAAAATTTTGATATCTTTTAGGGGTCAAAATGAGATTTTCCAAAACAAGAAATTGTAATTTAACCCCCAAAAATAATAAATTTGTAAGGACTCAAACGAGGGAAAGACTCAAATGACTGCAAGCGCCTCTCTGACAGAGAGCAGCAACAAATGCTCTGGCTCCCATGTCCACCACCAAGGCCAAGAACCTGAGCTCCCTATTCCGTTCCGCCATTAAAACCACCACCTCATCCGCCGAGAACGGAGCCCTAAAGCAGTACGTATCGGCATTCGACACCTCGCCTCCAACCAGTTCCCATACCTTTCGCAAACCCTTGATTAAGTCGCAGAAAGCACTGAATCGCTCGAAGAGCCCTAATTCCGAATCTCTTGGCGACTCGGCGGTTGAGGGGTTGAAGATAGATTCGGAGTCGCATTCGGGTGCGCATTTCCTGTTTGTTTTGATTGGTGATGAGGCCATGTTTGGTTGCTGAGAAAACTGCAAAGAAGAAATACAAAAAAGNCCGAATCTCTTGGCGACTCGGCGGTTGAGGGGTTGAAGATAGATTCGGAGTCGCATTCGGGTGCGCATTTCCTGTTTGTTTTGATTGGTGATGAGGCCATGTTTGGTTGCTGAGAAAACTGCAAAGAAGAAATACAAAAAAGAAAAGAACAATTTGAACGTTATTTTCCATGGAAAAATAAAAACCTTAGTGAAAATAGGCAATTTTATTGTGTTCGTGAGCTAAAGTTGCTTCTTTTTTGTCAATTTTGTTTATATTTGTTGCTTTTGCTTAGTGGCCAAACAGAATACAGTGAGAGTGTTTGAATTATTGGAATATATAAGCTGAATTTGTTCACTTTTTGTGTATAGAGGATTCAGCGAAGCAGTTGTCGAGGGATATAGCTGCCATATTGTGCGGTAAGTAGTATTTCTTAGTGGTGCTTTGAGAAATGAATGATGCCCAAGCTCAAATTCAATTGATGCAGAAACAGGACGAGTGGAATTGAAAGAAACTCTTGCACTGGTCATTTTGACCGCAAGTGGTATACTTTGGTTATGTACGTGGCGTTGTGTGTGCCTTGTTGGCTATTACATGGTGCTCATGTAGTTTTGTAGCCTCTTTAAATGGTTTTTTTTTGGAAGAAATTGCAGGAGAAAAGAAAAGGAGAATGCTTAAAAAAACGATTTATCTTGAATCATGTTAGAAATTCATTCATTAGCTTCCTTTTCTTTTGTGAAAAAAACTGATGGAAGCCACTATATTTAATTTGGACAAGAATGTTGAAGACACGAGAATTTTTAACTTATTTGGGTCTCACGCTTTTCATATGTCCCACACCATGGAAAGAACTTTTCCTGTGAGACCATGAGAGCATCAGGACCAACTTTCTTATATTTTCTTTTGGTTCTCCTGGAAAATTCATTCTAGCTGAACAGATTCTCAACACTTATGATGCGCAGAGAGTTATACAGTACCAACCAACTCAATTTTATCAGTTGTGTGGTTGTTTATTTATTTGTTTTGCGGGCAGGGAATTTTGAATGTATTGGGTTCTTGTTTGTTTATATGCTATCTGTTTTGAAGTGCAGGTGATAAAGCTTCAGATTTGGATAGTTCTCCTGATTCAGGACTGACCGATGACAACAAATGTCTGGAAAGAGTTTTAGATATTCCTTGGTTATCAAGCATGACGCACAATAACATGTTGCGTCAGAAAGAAATATCACGAAAAAGGAAGCAAAAGTGGGTGTTTAAGAGTACCCAAACTAACCGTTTTGAACAGTTAGTTAGATTGTGCGCACAGAAACTGGGGACAGATGCTACTATTCAGGTTTTTGGTAAATTGGGACGAGAAACTGGTGTGAAAGAATTCAACGCATTAATAGGAATTTGCATAGAGAAGGCCAGGAGGACTGAAGATGAAGAAGTTTCATTAGAGCAGATTTTCAAGGCTTATCAACTGTTTGATTTAATGAGGGAACAGGGTTTCCCAATAGAAGCCGAAACCTACGGCCCATTTCTTATTTATTTAATTGACATGGGTTTGGTCGAAGAATTCCATCTTTTCTGTGGAGTTATTAGAGCCGCGAATCCTAACTCACTTTCAAGGCTGGCATACTATGAGATGCTGCTTTGGATTAGAGNCTTTTCTGTGGAGTTATTAGAGCCGCGAATCCTAACTCACTTTCAAGGCTGGCATACTATGAGATGCTGCTTTGGATTAGAGTTAATAATGAAGATAAAATACAAGAGCTCTGTAATCAAGTTGCGCTTGATGATGGCGGAGACAAATCTGACTTTCAAGGTTTGAAATGCAAGTATTATTAGAATTCATCCTTANAGTTAATAATGAAGATAAAATACAAGAGCTCTGTAATCAAGTTGCGCTTGATGATGGTGGAGACAAATCTGACTTTCAAGGTTTGAAATGCAAGTATTATTAGAATTCATCCTTTTTTTTAAGTCTTACGTGTCGGTTTCACAATGTCATTTAAATTCGTATCAGATTCAGATGTGACTGGAACAGGTCAAACTTGGGAATGCACGGTGTTGACCCTAATCTTGGTTTTGTCATGGTAGTATTATTATTAATTATTTTTTCATTTGTATACAACTTATATGGTTGACGAATACACAGCATTTGCTTCTAATGCTTAATTTTCCATGTGCATGTGTAGTTTGCAGAAAATTTCAAATTTACATTAATGCAGCTTTCAACAGAGTTGTTCTGTGCACCTTAAGGTCACACTTGGGGGTCTTACTGTTACAAACTGATGCTGCAGAAAATTATTTATTAGCCCTGTGCAAAAGTAACCGGAAAAAGGAGCTTTCGCTGCTATTAGGATCTTTCNTGCTGCAGAAAATTATTTATTAGCCCTGTGCAAAAGTAACCGGAAAAAGGAGCTTTCACTGATATTAGGATCTTTCGACATAACGAAAGTCTCATCTCTGAACCACGTAGCAAGTATCTTCAAATCCTTGGGGAGGCTTTCATTGGAATCCTTTGCGCAGAAGTTCTTGCTGGCATTTAAAACCTGTGGTATATTCGTGATCTATTCATTCTTTTGATGTGGGAAGCTTCAGTATTCATGCTTTATTGTAGAATTAATGTCCTTTTGTTAATGAAACTACTGACATTATATGGCACTTTTATTGCATAACTTCAAGAGAGATATTTTTTAGCTCATTCTGCTTTAACATTTAACAAACACAGAAATTTCACTTGATGAAATTTTTTTTTTCACCTTAAGGATTCGAAGTATTAGAGACTTAGCAATGCTGAATTAAATGTGCCCCTTATCAGTTAAGTTTTGATATCTGAAGTCTGTTTTTGTTGCATCGACATCACAAAGAAGAGAAACCATTTCTTAGCATGTGTTGCATGCGCATTTACCGTGGTCTGTTTGAGTGCACCCTATTAATTGGGAATGCAATTGCAGAATTCATAACCTAATTAGTATGCAAGTCTTCTACCTAGGTTTCTTTTCTAAGTCCACTGTAATGTGGTTTTCTTGTTAAATGCAGATATTGGGGCAGAAANTTATTATTAATTATTTTTTCATTTGTATACAACTTATATGGTTGACGAATACACAGCATTTGCTTCTAATGCTTAATTTTCCATGTGCATGTGTAGTTTGCAGAAAATTTCAAATTTACATTAATGCAGCTTTCAACAGAGTTGTTCTGTGCACCTTAAGGTCACACTTGGGGGTCTTACTGTTACAAACTGATGCTGCAGAAAATTATTTATTAGCCCTGTGCAAAAGTAACCGGAAAAAGGAGCTTTCACTGATATTAGGATCTTTCGACATAACGAAAGTCTCATCTCTGAACCACGTAGCAAGTATCTTCAAATCCTTGGGGAGGCTTTCATTGGAATCCTTTGCGCAGAAGTTCTTGCTGGCATTTAAAACCTGTGGTATATTCGTGATCTATTCGTTCTTTTGATGTGGGAAGCTTCAGTATTCATGCTTTATTGTAGAATTAATGTCCTTTTGTTAATGAAACTACTGACATTATATGGCACTTTTATTGCATAACTTCAAGAGAGATATTTTTTAGCTCATTCTGCTTTAACATTTAACAAACACAGAAATTTCACTTGATGAAATTTTTTTTTTCACCTTAAGGATTCGAAGTATTAGAGACTTAGCAATGCTGAATTAAATGTGCCCCTTATCAGTTAAGTTTTGATATCTGAAGTCTGTTTTTGTTGCATCGACATCACAAAGAAGAGAAACCATTTCTTAGCATGTGTTGCATGCGCATTTACCGTGGTCTGTTTGAGTGCACCCTATTAATTGGGAATGCAATTGCAGAATTCATAACCTAATTAGTATGCAAGTCTTCTACCTAGGTTTCTTTTCTAAGTCCACTGTAATGTGGTTTTCTTGTTAAATGCAGATATTGGGGCAGAAAATATATCAATATTCATCTACCATTATGCCACTAGCATGCCAAATTTATCGGTGAGCAATTTCTCATGAATGCTGCTGGTAATGTCCTTGAGGACAGTTTTATGAGACCCTTCTACTTTTCGGGTAGTTTTCTGCTTGTTGAACTGAATTTTTTTGAAATATATCCTAAATTGTCATGAAAATGACCTCTCCGTCTTCTCCACAGCCTATAGTGGCGGGAGACTTGACCATTCCTTTTATGGTATGGGCACTGGACTTTTCTTGATAGAAACACCAAGATAGTGAATTGAGAAATGAGTGGGGATTGTGGGGAATGCCTAGGTTCATTTTGGAACTTGAAATTGTGATAACGTTGAGGTTGTCAAGTCAACTGCCAAATTTCTTTCTTTTTATGTTAGAATTCCTATATATTTGTTATCAAATTAGGGGTGCACACGATAACCAGAAGACCCAAGAAACTTAATCCACCAGGCACGGTTAATGTAGTGTCGTTTCCTTTAATGTATGAGTTTGGTTCTAGGTTTATATTTTACAAAATCTGTCTTGATTGTTATATTTTAAAATGAAGGCTCAGTTACCTATAACAACCCAAGTACCAACCAATATAGCATTACTGAAATGCACTCCATGTGGACTTAGTTAAGTCCAAAGCGCATAATTGTGGGCTTGAAGAAGAGACCTTATCTCTGAAGGACAAGTTGAGGTTTTTTGAAAATGAGTGTCATGGGCTTGTAGAGTCAAAGAAGAGTTTTGAGTTTAAATTGATAAAACTTGATAGAGACGTTTAAGAGTCGCAAAATCTCACTAAGAGAATTTCCCTAGGTTCGGAAAAATTTATAAAATGTTGTCTATAGGGAAGACAGCACTGTGCTACGGTAAGTGTAAGAGGCATATATATGACATGAAGCCTTTTTAACTTGTTTTATCTTTTGGGCTCACTTTAGGAAGCACTTTGAGTGTCTGGGGTGAATCACTTGACCTCAAAATATGTGATCTTGTTATGCAATATACATTCTCTAATAAGGAAGAGGAAGTTCAAAATTAATGTGGATGAGATAGTAGAGGAACATATGATTGCTTGTGGTTTATAGAGGATTGGCTATAGATAGGCTGAATGGTGAANATTCTCTAATAAGGAAGAGGAAGTTCAAAATTAATGTGGATGAGATAGTAGAGGAACATATGATTGCTTGTGGTTTATAGAGGATTGGCTATAGATAGGCTGAATGGTGAAACATGATCCATTTTAGCCAACTCGGAGTAACATCTTTTATTGAGCTCAGTTAAGTTGTTATAACTATTTGTGTTGTTTTAGATCGATGAATTCGTTACTCCTGCACTGCAAAAGATTTTTTTATTTGATTTGGGCTGTAGCAAGATGCATATGAAACATCTATTTGTATTTAATAGAGTCAAAAAGGTAATAACATAATATTTTGTATATGTATTCAGGACCAATGCTAATCACATTCTTAACCATCTTATTTTTTGTTAGTGTTTATTCTACTTACACTCAGGCTATTGTGTATTGAAGGTTGAGGATGTTATTTTAAAATTCAAAAATATGCTTGCTGAATTGGAGGTGACACCTTCATCCGTTCCATATGAGAAGCTTATTAGGTATTGCTGTGATTCGCTGAAGGTATGAACTGAATATCTTACCTCTATGATTGATATCCATTGGAACCTTTTCCCCTCTCCCTGGGTTCTGAATTGCGGGGTTCTATGGATGTTGGGTTTAGAATTTGAGTTCTTTTTCTGTTGATTAATGCAAGCATTGCTTTACTTATGATAGTAGCTGTAATTGTCTCATCATTAGGTACATGTAGCTCTTGATCTGGTTGATCAGATGTTTGAAGAAGGGTTAACCCTACCAATAGAGACACTTCATTCCATATTAAGTGCATGTGAGGAGAGCTGTGAATATAATTTGGTATGTGGAATTTTTTCATTTCTCGTGATTTATCATTTTACATATGNTATTAAGTGCATGTGAGGAGAGCTGTGAATATAATTTGGTATGTGGAATTTTTTCATTTCTCGTGATTTATCATTTTACATATGCTTCTTCACTTCATAATCTGTAGTCATATTCTGATGATGTAATGGATTGCCTTATCAGAGCAAAATTATAACCGTCAATGAATGGTCACTGAATCTGAGTCTAATTTGTGTAGGTATTTGCCTCCACTATGGTTGGAGGATCAAATGAATTATAGAAACATAAANACCGTCAATGAATGGTCACTGAATCTGAGTCTAATTTGTGTAGGTATTTGCCTCCACTACGGTTGGAGGATCAAATGAATTATAGAAACATAATACATGCTCGTTTTCTGATCTAGGATTGGTCTATAGTCCTAATTTTTATCGTGAGATGATGTAGATGAGAGCATAGCCTCTGAAGCGTCTACTTATAGTTATAGTTGACCCTAGAATTTTTTTCTAGATTTGCAACACTTAATTTTAGGTAAAGATGCAAATCTAGTATGAGAGGCCATTTATGCTATGATTCATCTCTATATTTTTTGAAACCATTTTATTTCTTCTCAGCAAGATTCTAATTGTCTGCCTCACGATTCTAAGGTTCGTCAAATCTATTCTTTGATTTGCCGCCATAACTTGAAACCAACTCATGAGACCTTCAGGAGCATGATAAATCTGAGTGTGAAGATGAAAGATGTAAGTCATCTTCTATTGCATTTGGCATTATTTTCATATTTGATGGCTAATGTGATTTCGACTACATCTGCTATATGCTTGCCCCTTGTACAGCTTCATGGTGCATATGGCATGATCAATGATCTGGAGAAAATGAATGTGATGCCTACAGCTAGCATGTACAATGCAATAATGGCTGGATATTTTCGAGAGGTGACTCCTTCAGTTTTTTTGGATGCTTACGTTCTAGTTTCTGCTGAAATTTTGTGTAATTAGCTCATTGTATAAGTTGCTGTTTGCCAGATTATATGATTTTATGAAGCAGTTTAGAAGTTCCTACTCATTGTTCACTTTACTTTATCGATTTGCTTCCTATTATATAACTCTTTTATATCGAATAATAGTGTATCATGCTTTTGCAGAGGCATTGGTGCAATTTTGACGTTTATATTTTCCTACTCAAATGGCTTCTGTTTGATGCACTAGATTGTTGAGCAACATACAGGAGCATCAAAAAAGGGTTTTAGCAGAGTTAGGGATGATTTGTGCTTCTGATTAATGATGCATTATGTGCTTGATCCACTCTGTTGCTAAAAACTGTGCAGAAGAACACTTATGGTGGATCGATTGTTCTCAAAGAAATGGAAGATGCAGATGTAAAACCTGATTGTCAGACTTTCTGCTATCTTATTGGCAACTGCAACTGTGAAGAGGATATTGTTAAGGTAGTTTTATTTGTCATTTATGGTATACCGAGCATATGAGCTTATGGAAGACCATTTTATCATATACTCGAACTCAGTTTTCTTGTCAAAAGCTGGTTGAAATTTACAATGTTAGTGAACTAGACTTGTGTTTTCTTAGTGTTCACTTGAAGCCTACTCAATTGTCTTCTTCTTCCTCTTCATGGGGCTGGGTGTTGGTGGTTCAACTGAAAAGTTCATCTTCTTTGTCCCACTATTTTTATTAGACTGATATGAATATGTTTTGGACCTACAGGAGTACAGGGACAAGTGTGTTAACTGCTTGTACCAAGTCTCTTACCCTCGTTTTTTGTGGAAAACAAATTGATAAGGAATTTAGTTAAGCCTCAAACAGCAGAGGGCACTGTTTCTATTATGATACAATGATCTTAATGTTGAACATTAACATTTTAGGCACCATGATAGCAATGCTTCAAAATCAATGCTTCGTTTTGACATGAATTAATCATGGGGCACTTTTAGAATGATTGCTGAATCAATTATTTTTTCGCTCTAAGATTGTCATCATAACTTGGGTGGAAGTTACTATTCTCATTTGCTCGCATCACTTTAAGGTTGATCATGGAAGTCAAGAGAAGATTAAGCATTCAAGCCGAGAGGAAAACCACGCTTTCTTTTATGTGCTTGATCTTGTTTTCCTCTCTCCTCATTTTCATGTTTTTTTGGTCTTCTCCACTGTGCTCCTCAATATTACATCCCCTCTCTCTCTGCCTTTTTCATTTTGTGATTGTTAAGGAGAGAAATGCAGTGGAAACACTACACCATGCCCTTAAATTTAGTCATTGGCTTAGATGCTGTGTGGTAAAACATATAATAAAATGTACACTAGAATTTAAATGTATGAGAGCGTAGGTGCCTCTGTATGCAAATTACCAAAGATGAGGCATGTACTGATTCTAACCTCCTGGTGAGAGTAACACTAGGTTATGGCCTTTAATTGTTCCTGCCAGTCTGAGTGGTATATAAGTTTAACGTTTGGCTCGTCATTTCTTTATGGAAACTGTTTTCACCTTGGGAGGAGACAAGAGGACTCATTTGTAGCCTTTTTGTGTGCTGATGAGCCTGTTTGTGCTAGAGTAGCTATTTTTGTAATATTTTCTTTGCATGTAGCTAATGCTTTTGCTGTCGGTGTGATCTTATACCTAATTTCATGTTGCAAAAATCGTCATAAGAGTTGCTAATCAGGTGATCTGCTTCTAGTATTATGAAGAATTGAAGCATTCTGGAGTTCAAGTCACGAAGCATGTTTATATGGCACTTATAAATGCATATGCAGCTTGTGGACAGTTTGAGAAGGCAAAGCAGGTATATATATGCCATATAGCTTCTCTCCGCTTTCATCTGTCCAACTTAATTAAGGGTTTTCCTTCTTATTTCTCGCACTTAAGCAAAAAATCTGTTCAAGGTCTTTATGAGGAATATTTTGCCCAGTTTGTCTCTAATTAACAACTATACAGGGTTTTTTTTTTCGTGGCAGAATTTGAGTTTAAAACTGAGACCCCCACCCTATTCACTCGCCACCTAAGCCTAGACCCAGGGGCATTTTATGTGGGAAGTGTTGGCATGATTCAGAAGTACATGCTATCTAATCAATGACTTCTTCCCTCTCCCTCTCTCTCTCTCTCTCTCTCTCTGCATGAAATGAAAGAGATGTAAAGGGGCTGCCTCCAAACCATTCGCTTGCCTTTGGCGTCATTCCACTTCCAGGTGTTCCCCACAAAGAGAATAGGAGTTAGTATTATTCTTACGCCATAGCCCGATGCAGTAACAACTGATTCACTTTTCTGTTGGAAGCAATTCAATGTTGCCTTTCTGTATTCTACCAAGCAGCAATTGATTTGGATATTTCTAGTATTTTTTCTGTTGTACAACACTTTTATACCTATAATCTTCTTGTTAGCAGTTTTGTCAATCTGTATTATGTGGATCTGGTCATTATTTCTTTTGTTTTGCAAAACTTTTTGGTCAAAAATCCCTCTGGCTCAAACTGAGCTATAATTTGAGTTTAAAGCAGTATTAATTTTTCAGAATATTTCATCAAACTGAGCTCACGTGGTTGCTCCTCCTGGCCTTGTTTATCAAAACCACTGTTTTATGAGAATATTTCATCTGTTCCTGCGTTATAAATCACTGAAAATATCTCCACTAGCCTCACTTTTCTGGATTCTTTTGTATGCAAACCCACTAGATATTAAAAAGAAAAGTAGCCTTCCAGCTCTAATCAACATATTTTATCCCATAAATTACTGCCTAACACATTGCATCTTTTGTGTCACTGCATATGCTTTAAACTTTTTTTCCATCTAAATTTTCTCTCTTTATTTGGTAACTTGGCAGTTGTCCTTGGTTATATTGGTCTAAAATTTTATGGTATTCAATGTAGACAGGGTCATGCTTAACCTCTTATGTGGAAGTTCGTAATATATTCTTGTTGTATCAATTTATTGGCAGGTAGGCTTGGATAAAGGAGTGCCTGTCAAGAGCTTGAATGAAATCAAAAGTGTGCTTGTCTCAGCTCTTGCAATACATGGGCAAATGACTGATGCCCTTAACGTATATGAAGAAATCAAACAAGCTGGATGCAATCTGGAGGCAAAATCCATAATATGTCTTATTGTAAGTTCATTTAGTGCATCTCTTGTGTGTTTTACCTTCTGAATACTGACCATTCTTAGTGGTGCCTCAGGAGAATCTTCAATCTGAAGGGGAGTTGAGTAGATTGCTTCAGCTACTTGAGGGATTAACTGATCTAGACTATTGGGTTGATGGCTGTTTTAGAATTATTTTATATTGCATCCGTCACAAGAATTTAAGGTCCAGCTATACTATATTCTTACTGCCTTTGGAATTTTTTCCCATTATCATGCGTGCTGATGGTCATTTTCTTTGGTTTAGCCCTGCCATTGATTTGCTCAAACAACTCAAGGATAAACTTGGCAACGACGAAGTAGCAAATGAAGTTCTTTTTGACGAGGTTTTGGTCTTGTTTTCACACACTAATTTATAGGTTTTCTGAATTGATGGCATGGAATTTTCTGATACTTTGTAGTATCATTATGTAATAATGGTGTAGGTATTTTGTCAAATTGCGGAGACAGAACCTGCAGATTTGCAGATTGGACTGGATTTGCTTAAAGCTATCAAGGAAGAGCTTGGTGTTCGCCCTTCACGAAAAAGTCTTGACTTTCTCCTTAGTGCTTGTGTTAATGCCAAGGATTTACAAAATTCTTTTGCGATTTGGAAAGAATATCAGACTGCTGGCCTTCCTTACAATGTCTTAAGTTTTGTGAGGTAAATAATGCTCTATGTTCATGACTGTCTGGAAGTTTCTGTTAGTAAATGGAACTCTATTGGATAGACCTTCCATTTAGCACTTCATCTTGTGGAAAAGCCAAGGTAAAAGAGAATAACAAATGTAACCCCCTCCCCCCAAAAAAAACACACGTATGATGTATGGTTGTAGAGAACAAGCAAATTTGACAGGAACTTTTGAGGAAGACATATTTAAATGCTCTCTCCATCTTCAGCATGCAACTTGCTTGGATCCTTTGGTGTGTATAAGGCCATGCTTGCATCATGACACAACTAGCAAGATGATTATTTATATGAACTTATATTTGACCACAATTCCTCATCGGAATGTTGTTTGTTAAATTCTTTGCTACTGAGTAGAATGAGAATCAAGTGCATTATAAGTGCATGGTCTCATTTGGTCATACCTGTACATGTGATATTTCTCAAATAGCAGACTGCTACTCATAGTTGAGTAATCTACTCTTTTTTTTTTTTCCCTTCTGATAAACTCTAGCATCAATAATATACAATCTTGAATTACTTAGTGGCTAAATTGAATGGTGATGGTACTTCTTAGAGGTGGAGCTGCTGCAAATATATTTAGATATCAAATTTCGTCCTCCCTTTTATTGGTTTTCATGCTTGGATTGTTTATGCAGGATGTACCAGGCCCTTTTGGCTTCAGGGGACCGTAAATCTGCCAGAAATATACTAAGTAAGATACCAAAAGACGATCCTCATGTTCGCTGTGTCATCAAAGCATGTAAAGCAACTTACAACAGGAAGAAAGACAAGATAGAAAAGGTGATGCAGGAGAACAGAGATGAGTTGAATCAGTAGAGGTAGGATGGGGTGGATGGTGTTCACTCAAATGTTTTTTTGAGTTGAGTTGGCTTGAGATTGATGTCCAATCAGCATGCACAATGTTGTATACGAATATTATTTATATATAGATTCACATATTTCAGGAAATTAAGAGTATCTCTCTTTTTCTCGCTATATTTCGCACACATACCCACATTCGCACTTGGGGGACAAGTTCCCCCGAGACTCCCCAGGGTGGCAAGTCTTTATTCGAGATTGGAATGGAAGAGATGATTCCTTGAAAACAGAGGTGGTAAATTCATGGACACATATCCCAAGTACTAATGCATGTAAATTGTATGTTCCAAGTTCGAATTTTCCCTTAATGCCATATCTAGATAGCTTCTAGTTGGAAACACCAAAATGTATACACAATCAAAACGAATTAGCTACAAGAATAGCTTGCCTGCACCGTGCCTTAGCTTGTTCAAGCCTCTCACCAAGTGTCTCTTCTTTGACTGCAGCTTTAACCATAGCCAAGTCCATCTCCATTAGCTTTAAAACTCTAGACAGCTCGGTGACCATTCTTTCCTCCACTTTCCCTTCCTCTACCAACACTTCTGCTTCTTCTCTTGCTCTCTCCGCCACAATTTCTCCGGCTTTTGCCAACAGCTCCGTCGAACCAAACTCTCTCCCCATTAGCCCCTCCAACTTCTCCAAGAAATCCATAATGACGTACCCTTTTGGCTTCTCCAGTGGAATAGGTTTCGTCCTCTTCCATCCTATTTCAAAATTTTGTGGCTCGGGTTTTACCAGGCCTGTTCTCGACTTCCGGTCGTGGATTATTTCGGATTTTCTTCTCTTCTCGATCGGGAACTTATCTGGGCTGATGGTTGTTTCGGAGTTTGGGCTCGGGGTTGGGAAGTCTGGCTGAGGAGTTGAGTTTGAAGTGCATTTGATGGTGAAATGCTTTTGGCAAGAGAGGTGATGGACTAGTACTGATGATGGGTAGGCAAGAGTTTGGTTTGGGTGGAGGAGAGTTTGATGAAGTGGGTTAGGATGACAGAGTAGTTGAAGGGCACTGGAAGCCATGAGAAAGAAGAACCAGAACTTGAGGAGAAGAAGATAAGGCTTTTCTTTTTATCTGTTGTTGGTGACTATTTAGACAAAGTAGGGGTGGAGTTGTCCTGCTAAATGTCATGCATGGAAATAGGCACTGGGCCGTCCAAATGATGTGGGTCTTTTTTGTGGGTTTAATTTGATTGGGTTGTTGTACCCGTGTTTATTTTATATTGATTTGATCGCTATATCACTATTATAATAAATAATTATACATCAATAATGAAAAGTAAAAAAACACTCGGATGAAAAAGCCCAAAAGGAGTACTTAATCAGGGCCCTTTTGCAGTATTGTAGATAGGTTTATTAAAATTCGACACGATACGATCAATAGGCACAAATTAAATAAATTTGGGTGAGATTTTAACGAATTTGGATAATAAACGGATTGATCCGTCAGACACGTTTAATAAATGAGTCGTGTTTGAGTTAAATCTGTCAAACCGGTTATTACACGTTTATTCGTTTAAATAAAATTAACATAATAATAATTTAATAATTATTGAAATCAATACAAAAAAAAAAAGGTAAAGTATTAGTTCATGACAAAGGCAAACCAACCCCTTTTCTTTTTGTCCCACATTGGCAAATGACGAGAGCTGAGAAGGACTGACTCGCCTATGAAACACTGTGGCCTGTTTCCTTTTTTTTTTAGCCTTTAAATCTGATTTTTATGTGAAATTTAGTTAGAAATTTCTTTTTTTTTTTTTAAAGTATATACAATTGACAATAAAAAAAAATTGTGTATTAAAATTTGTTGATATAATTTTTTTAAAAAATTAAATGAGTTAAATGAGTCGTGTTTGTGTTAAGATTTTTCATCCGTTTATTAATAGTGTCGTATACATGTTTACATGTTTTCCATTCGTTTAACTTGACACATAACTATTTAACCCGATACATTTGACACCCCTAATTATAGAGATTAGGAGTGTCCATGGGTTAGGAGGCATTCTAACCGATGAGACCCCTTTTTTGGGGACAGTGGTGATAGTGGTGGTGACAATAACCATGATGATAATGTGGTTGCGACAATAGTGGTGGTGGTTGTTATGACAGAATTGGTGGCGAGGTGATGATGTTAATAATTGTGGTGGAGATAATTTTGGTGGTGGAGGCGGTGGGGCAGTGAGGGTGGTGGTAGTAGGATAGTTTTGAACATTATTATTATTATTTTTTTAAATAATTATGAAAAGTTATAAGTTCTAAAAACACTTTTTAAAAGTCACCCTAAAAACATTCTTAAAACTCTATTTTTCTTATTAAATTTGGAGTGTTAATATTAATCGTCAAATTAATTTTAAAATACAATTTTAAGAGATATCAATTACGAAAAATAAATGTCATTTTATTTATTTTTAAAATTTTAAATTATATTATACTTTATATAATATAAGTAAATAAATTAAATATGAGTATAATAATAGTATTACTTTTTGACATGAGCCACTAAGATTGGATGCCAACTCCCCACTTGCACACAATACAAGCTATTCATCTTCGTAACCATAATCATAATCATCGCACCAAAGGAGGAGGAAAGGCTATGGTACCTTGGTGGTAAAGTACTCAAATTTATAATTTTTTAAAATTTAATTATAATTTTTTTAAAGTATAAATTGTAACTTATAAATAACATAATTAATTATTAAAAATTATGATCTATATCAAAATTATAATTTTCAAAGTGAAGTTATAACTTAAGATCAAGTTAAAATTCATAAGAGAGGTTAGAAAGGCTCAATCAAAGCTCGATGCAATTAATTTTTTTTTTAAAGGCCTAAATTTACCATAAAAATGATTGAAAAAAAAAAAAAAAGACTTTACGAAAATTCAAGGACAGGAAAAAATTCCCCTATTTTCATAAAAAGTCTCGCTCTCACATGAGTCCCGACTCACTCCGGAACATTAGCTCCCTAGGATTCTAACTCTTCATTGGTCCGTCTACGTACACGGCAACACAACCTCTGCCCGTTTGTTGTCGCGGAGGCAGTGTCGGCGGAAGTTGCTAACGTGCGCAGGGGATGGCGAAAATCGCGCTAGGTTGCGAACCGGTGGTTGGATTGCTAACGCCGTCAAAGAAGAGGGAGTACAGAGTCACCAACAGACTTCTAGAAGGCAAGCGTCCTCTATACGCCGTCGTTTTCAACTTCGTCGACTCTCGTTACTTCAACGTCTTCGCCACCGTTGGCGGCAATCGGGTACCTTTTCTGGACGAAATTAGATTCGAAAATCTTTGAAACTTTAGGACCAGACTCCCTAGTCTGTCATGTTTTTTTTTTCTTTCTTTGGTGTTTGATGTTCATGCGATTTTGTACCGTACTCAAAAACTTGATCTCCTATCTGGGCTACACCCCCCTTTTTTTTTGGGGGGGAGGGGGGGGTTGAGGGGGAATGTAAAACCCGGGAGAAGAGTGAATGGCTGGTTATGAACAGCATGAGTGCAGCTCAGCTTGGTTATTGATATTGTGAGATTTGGGTAGCAAAAATTGTGAAGGAAACTTACGAAAAAAGAGGGGTGTAACAAAGGTTGCAGCATTCAATGTAAGGATGTTGAGTTGTGAGGAACCATAACGGAAATTTGGTTTGTAGTGTAATCAGTGTTTAAAAATTAGCTTAACTGCACATTTTGATTCTGACTTGCATATATTGTAGACTAGGTCAGTTAACTTCAGTATCCAATTAGCTGGTTTCTGTATAGAAGTTTATCGAATCTCAAAGTTTCAACTTTATCACTTACTCACAGCAACAGGGTTGCAATTGGGGGAAGAAACTAATTTTGATGTTTTTGCTATGGAGTTTTGAGAGTTCTGACTACTCCATGAAGGCATAATGAAGCAATTGAAGATTGATACTTTCTGTTGATTATATCTTATTGTTTATTTTTTTACATGACCGACTGGCTGACCTCCATTTTCTAGATATCTGTTTTATTTTGATACAACCCTCTCTGGGACATAAACCACTAATATGTTCTTCTTGAATTAAGCATATAAATTTATAACTTCCAGTTAAATTCATGACCTTTAGAAGCTCTACTTCCAGGGTTCAGTTTCTCTATTTCAAAAAATAATGTTTGATTCCGATTTATTTCCCTCTGTTCTTCTTTCTTTTGGTGAATGATTGCTCAGGTGACTGTATACCAATGCCTTGAAGGTGGCGTTATTGCCGTATTGCAGTCTTACATTGACGAAGATGTAAGAAAAATGAATTTTCTTTATTGTATTTGTACTGGGTATATGTGACATCTTTATCTTCTTAAAGTGCATTTGGGAATTCCACTTGCTGTGTAGATCAGAAGGATGAATCTTTTTACACTTTGAGTTGGGCATGCAATATCGATGGGACCCCATTTTTGGTGGCTGGAGGAATAAATGGTATAATTCGGGTCATTGATGCTGGCAATGAGAAGATACACAAGGTATCTTATAATAGTACGCTGTGCTCTTACTTTCCATGTTAAGAGTATAAGTTGTTGGTCTATTATATGGTTGATAGAGGGTGCTGGGAGGAATGGACTGTTACAGAGTATAGACCTAACATTTAGTGTAACATGCCCCAAGTGCCTGCCCTCTGATACAAATGTACTACTGTTTCCATTGTTAGCTGATCGAAACAATAGTTATAGGGGAAAAGACATCCCAAAGGCAAAAGGAAACCAAACGGCCAATGTATTTGAGATGGACTTATAACTGAAACAACTGTTGCATCAGTTTTCATTGCTTCTTTACTCCCTTCATGTAAGTATTAATTGTGAGACTGGACTTCTATTGAGAATAGTCTGGCTCCTTCATTCAGTTACTTTTTCACTGTGAAAGAAATTGTTAGTTTTCCACGCCTCAGTCTATGTAGGATGTGAACAGCATGTACAGGCGATTCATAATCCATTGAAGGACATTTAGAAGCATCATATTTGATATAATTCAGGGAAACATGTTTGCTTTCATTTCTTGGCTTCCTGAAGTGTTCATATCCATGCAGAGCTTTGTTGGGCATGGGGATTCAATAAATGAAATTAGGACTCAGGCACTGAAACCATCACTTGTGGTATCTGCAAGCAAAGTAAGTGTTGTGGCTTTCCGCATGTACCAACATAGAAGAAACAATAATACTCAATTAAAAGAACAAGAAATTAGTAGTCTCTGTTTTGTCAAGATGTTTGTTTAATGACATATTTTTGATGACCAATGGAACAGGATGAATCTGTTCGGTTGTGGAATGTTCATACAGGAATATGCATTTTAGTATTTGCTGGTGCTGGGGGTCATCGAAATGAAGTCCTGAGCGTGGTAATTGTAGATTTGATGGATTTTTGGGATCTAAACCCTCCCATTTCCCCCCTTTTCTGAACCAAAGATCTGATGGAAATGATATTTTTTTAGTGTGTTTTTCTAATGGGGGTTTAAAGTGTGAAATACTGATGTTAGACACATCGGCTATTGTAGGACTTCCATCCTTCTGACATGTATCGGATCGCTAGCTGTGGAATGGATAACACTGTCAAGATCTGGTCAATGAAAGGTGGGATGCATTATGACCATTTTTCTTTGCATATGTTAAGCACTAAAATTTCTTTTATAAAGTCCAAGAAACTCAAACAACTGAGTTTGGTGGTATCCTACTTCCTTGTTAACTCCAAGGTTCAAGCCTCCACAATGTTGTTTCAATTAAAAGGTCGAATTCCTCCCCAATAGATTGGGATTTTGGGTTTTGTAGGATTCTAAATAATAGAGAGTACTCGGAGTTAGTATCATTTCTCTCATTGCTTGATTCAATTACTTTGAATCATGATTTTTTGGATAAAAGATGTTGGGTCATTGATCCATCGGGTTCATTCTCATGTAAATCATTCTTTGAGTCTTTGATTGATGATCCTTCGACTCCTATTTTCTACCCGGCATTGAAGATTTGGAAGGGTAAAGTGCCTTCGAAAGTAGAAGTTTGTGCATGGGTGATTGCTTATGGTAAGATCAATACTTATGACATGCTCCAAAGAAGGTCTCATACTAACCTTTGTCCACAATGGTGCGCTATGTCTGGAGCAAGTTGTGAAAGTATGGACAATTTGTTTTTACATTGTCCTATTACTTTATTTTTATAGAATAAATTATTTGAGTTGATTTGGCTTTGTTGGGTGGGCCCACAATCTATCTCATCTATGTTCTCGATAGAGTCCAAACGGTTTGGGCAGGCGTGGAAAAGGGGGTTACTCTATTTTTTTTTTTTGATTCAACGGTCAGGGGTATTCAGGTCAATTCGTACGTACCTTAACTAATTTCTTCTCTAATATGGTCAAAGGCCACCTACGCCGGAAATAGGTTATTCACGAGGGCTAATCTCTCATGGTTTGGCCCTAAGGGGTTGTCAAGATTCGGACTCATGACGTCTGGGTTTACAGTTGATCCCTATTACTACTTGAGCTATCCTTTGAGGTTAAATGGGATTACTCTTTGGCATTGTGCGGTCTTTGCAGTTGTTTGAGTCATTTAGTTGGAAAGAAACGCAAGAATTTTTTAAGACAAAGAGGAAGTTGGAAGGTTTGTTGGATTGGGTCTTTTTCCTAGCCTCTTTTTAGACTTTGGTGACTCAGGATTTTGAGGATATCTCTTTTTTTTGTATTACATTGAGTTGGATGACATCATATGGAAGATGATTTTGAAATTTTGGTGGTTACCTTTTTTGTATTTTTGTTATCATTATAATAGCGATGGACTTCTTGTCCACCTTTGCTCGGAAAATTTTATCATCAATTATTAATGAAATATGTTTCTTATAAAAGAAAAATGGTCGAATTGAGCGATACAATGTTTTTTGATGCAGCAAAAGAAAAAAGTTTCTTGTTCTAAAGTTATGTGCCTCCAACATGCTTATATGCGATGATTAGATGAAATCCCACATTGTTAGTTTTGCCAAGATTTCATCACTAGTTTTTGAGATGGTCTGAGGACTGGGGCGTTGCCTTTGAAGTCAAACATTTGTGGGGCTCATGTGCTCCTTTTGGGGTGCTACATTTTTTGCTTGACTGCCGCTTGTTCACTATGAAGTTTTATGTATAGTAGCACCTCTTCTCATCCTTGGGTGCTGGAACGAGTGGAATATCAGATATTTTGAGGATTTGGAGTGGAATCAGTCATTTTATAATCGGTCTGTACTGAACATTTCCCTAATGTAACTAGATTTCATTGGTCACTGTAATTGTATTCAATGTGATATGATCACCTGGAAACCTTAAAAATGAATCAGTTATTCCAAAAATTGTTCGTTTCTAATGACTTCTACACATGCACCCGGGCTATCTCTGTAATCAGAATTTTGTGTTTGAACTAGTTTGCTGAAATATGAGAGTACCAAGTTCTATCTAGGATGTGAGAAGTAGTGCAATGTATTGGAAAAAAAGTAATTGCAAATGTGCTAGGCAACCACAGCATTTGATCTATTGTATCGGTGAAGGTGCTCCTTTTGCATTTTGCTTCTCTGACAGAGAAGTTAGATCATGTTTAGGTTGATTATATAAAAAGTTCCTGAAGCACCTCTTACGTGTGGGTGTTTTTGGGTTATGTTCCATCATAGCGAGCCTGCTTAATTAGTGGTTTGGCGAGTTGGTCAACTATGTTATGAATCCTGCTATCAGGGAAGACGAGCTGACTTTATTCCTTTTCAACATTTACTGAACTTGTGACAAAGTTCTGGACATACATTGAGAATTTCTTAGACAGATCTTCCTTCATTATGTGAAAAAATTATCAAGTAAATATCAATCTGACTTTTTATTCCTTCTTGGCATTTGTTAAACTTGCTGCAGAATTCTGGACATATGTAGAGAAATCTTTTACTTGGACAGATCTTCCTTCAAAGTTTCCCACAAAATATGTACAATTTCCTGTAAGTAGTAGTTGCCTTTTTATGTTGAACATTTTATAGATGAGTCGCTGCTCATACTGAATCTAAGTTTACTGTGTCATTGTAGATATTCATAGCTTCAGTTCATTCGAATTATGTTGACTGCAATCGATGGCTTGGCGATTTTATCCTGTCCAAGGTGAGAATGGCTACATCTGCTGTGTTCATTTTCAAAATTTGAGTTGCCAGAGAAAGCTATTAATATGTAATGAAGCATCAAGCAATATCTATTATAACATGCCTGTGCTGTAATTTTTGAATTGGTTAATGAAGAAGAGCGATTCTAACTGCCCAGAGGGAGGAAAAGAATAGAAAATGAAAAAATAATACGAATTTGTCATGGTCGATTAGGTATGATCAGTCAGTCTGAGGATATCACTTTCTCAAGTAGTATAATTTTTGATGCTTTTGGAAAATTCTCTGGTTACTAGTTGTGTTTTTGGAATCAACTTTGAGGTACTTAATTTCTCCTTCCTTCTAGAATGAATTATCATGTCGCGTGTCACTTTTGTGTGTGGAGTTTTTAGTCAAGATGAAGCTATTATTTTATGTTTTTTAACTTCAGCAGGTTAATTTTTTTCTGATCTCTGAGAATGGCCATTTTAAGTTTCTTTAGAACAACAATTAGGGACGGAGTTTCCAAAAGTTACTAATGCAGTATAACTTCTGGAGGGTGTTCCACTGGAATAGATTTAGAACTTGATTGAAGAGTCTAATATTGGTCCTTGCTGCATGATAATCTTACTATTTACTGCTCATGGAAGTTGGAAACTTGTGTATTTTGAGTATAATTACATCATTTGATTTTCTTGCACATTACAGAGTGTTGACAATGAAATTGTATTATGGGAACCAAAAATGAAGGAACAGTCTCCTGGGGAGGTTTGAACATCTTCATTTATCTTCTTTTTCGAAACCGATGTGTCTGCAAACTGTTTGTTGTTATTGCTTTTGCTTGAAATTTAAAATTCTAGTCGTCATATGGTCTGATATCTTCTAAGCTGCCTAAGCATTTTTGTTTAGGGCTCAGTTGACATTCTTCAGAAATATCCTGTTCCTGAGTGTGATATTTGGTTCATCAAGTTTTCCTGTGACTTCCATTACAAGTCAGCAGCTATAGGTAATACCTGGTACAGTGGAATGTGATCCTTGTGCTTTTCTTTTTTCCTTACATTTTTTACTTTAGCATGTTTGAAATTTTATTCCTACCATCCCATGGTCTATGGCTTATACATCTTCCTTTTTGTACCAGTTAAACTGCTGCATCGAGACGAGAATTTATACGAAGTGTCTAACCTATAGGTATTCTGTTTTCCAGGGAATAGGGAAGGGAAGATTTTTGTATGGGAACTGCAATCAAGTCCTCCTGTTCTCATCGCAAGGTTTTAGGATTTCTTTTCTTCTTTTTTTTTTTTTCCTGAAATAATTTATTCTGTTATATGAACCTACTATTTCGGTACATACATTGGATTTCTTTTTGGTAAGAGGTACATACATTGGATGTTGATTGACATCTAAATGCTTTAGGTTATCACACGTTCAATCAAAATCTCCTATTAGACAAACTGCCATGTCCTTTGATGGAAGGTAAAGGCTCCCAGATAATTACTAACCTTGGATTACCAGAAAAACACACATACCATTGCCAGTGAGGTGTGATCAATGGCATTTCTAAATATTGCAGCACTATCCTTAGCTGCTGCGAGGATGGAACTATCTGGCGGTGGGATGTGGTGGCAACTTCTTAAGCTTCTCCGTTTAGAACCATTGGCGGGATTTTCATGAGCAACCTCTTCGCTGATGAAATCAATTTTTAAATTATGTTGTATAGGAAGAGAGAGGAAATGAGTCTCGTATCTTCGTCCAAGACCTGATGCTGGTATGATTTATGTGTTATTGACTATTGAAAAGTACTATGTTAGTGTACTGAATCTTACAAAATATGAGATTGGGCTCTTCAGCAGTTTTGGCCTGGTTACTCTAGAAGTTCCTCAAGTTGCAGTCTATGTATTTGGATCATATTTCTATCACAATAAAAGTGCTTATTTGTATCTTACCATTCTCTCATAAGTTAAGGATTTGTATCACTTCAATTTTGATGCTGAAGAGTCAAGAGCTTTCCTGTGGAATGGAACATCAGCTTCCATATAAGGTGTTTTAATTTGTTGGTGGGAAGTGTGTTGTCTCTGTCTACTTTTTGTCTCAGGTGTACCGGTACTGGTACTACCGGTTAGCATTTTTTATGGTAAAATTACAAATGCTCAAAGGAAAGTAATAAATCACCACAGACACTCATGATCGATCATAAACTCTTGATATCGATCTCAATCTTGCATGATCTCAATTTTCTCCGTTTTTAGCTCATTCTCATCCGCTTATGTGTTGTGAGTTTTATTTCTATTCACGGTTTATAATCCACCAAGAAAGAAATTGGAATAAACTGTATGGTAGAGAATTTCATTTCGTGTCACATTCACAGAATTTTTTTTAGGGTGGACGCATTAGCATGTTTTAAGTTTTTTTAATAGACCGTAAAAGTTTATAAATTTATCTTTTTAAATTATATTTAATGCTTTTTAAACATAAAAGATTAAAAATCGATATACTTATAAACAAAACAAATAATAATTAAAACTTCTTATCAAGAATGCGACTAATTATTATTACTTACAATTGACTCTAGTATGTTTTTATTATTTAAAAGAGTTACAAATTAATTTTATCAATAATATTTCTTTTATATATAAAATTCTAGTTACAGTTGTTGTGTTACGTATAATAATTGTACTGTATGTAAAATTGCAGTATCGATTATACAAATAAGTTGATAACGGAAAAAATTTATTAGATATGTCGAAAGATTTAATTCGTTATGAAATAATTATGAGTCATATGAGAATGCCTACAAGCCGTGAAACTCATGATTAATATAAAACATAGTATGGAGTCGAAATGGAGAATATCGAATTGGTTGCGCGTCGTATCAAACTGCATTGATTTTTTGAAACTAGGTTACTTTTGTTTGTGAGATATTCTCGTACGATTCTGTTAGTTCCCACATGATACTCTGCACATGCATCCACGACTAAATCTAAGGCGTCATAAATGTAAAATTTTCATTTTTTTTAAAATTTTATTATAAAGTGACACGTATTAAAATTTGTTATTTTTATAATAAAATGTTGTGAATTACTCAATTTAAGATCAAGGATCAAAATTTACTTCGGGAGCACAAGTTTTTATAAGTTCGAAAATCAAAACATTTCAAAAATATTTTAAAATTAAAAAATTATCTTCGAAACACTTCAAAACATTAATAAAAAATATATCAAAAATTCTTATTTTTAAAATACATCAAAACATCTCAAAATATATGAATTATGATATTTAATTATATATGATGAATTATGATATTTAATTACTGATTTGATTTTTACATAAACAAAAATATTTTGATCATCTCAATGAAAATAAAATAAAATTTGATTTTTGTTCGAGACTTGATTTTTTTTTTTTTTTGAGATGGTTTGAAAAAGAGGAAGGAAATGGTACCAAAGTTGGTACCATACAAAAAAATATAATTTTTGAGATAGAAGTTACAACAACAAAAGACACGATTAATGATAAAATTATAAATTATACTTTAAAAGATTAAATTATAAATTTTCATGGTCAAGTTACACTTGAGTAGAGGTATTAATGTTCGATCATAAAATTTCATCATCGATAATAAATAATCTCAAACAATTATTATTTTATTTTTAATAAGGATAACTTGACCCAATAACTTCATTACAATATCAATTTATTTTTTATTTTTTATTTTTGGGTACCGTGGAATTAGCCTTTAATGAAAATGTGTCATCCCTAAATCTACTGGGTTGGCAAATGTCTGTAATCTGTAGAGAAGTTGGACATCTGGCCTACTTAGTGGTGTTTGCTGATGGGAAATCAAATACAACTTCATCACGGCGGAGGTAGGCTCCTGGACAAACCTTATAGCGGCGCTCGGTTAACTTTCGTTTCTAATCAGCTTGGAATCACCCGTCGGAGATGACGCAAGTAAGCAACTAGCTAGCGTACCTCTTCTCTCTTCGATCCAACCTTTCACTTCTTCTAACAAGTAGGTAAACTTCGTTCACCATTGACTACATTCTAGAATTAATATTAAATAAAAATATTTTTTTTGACTAATATCATGATCTAATATAAAGTCAAAATACCCACTAATTTGCAGTCATTCTAGCATACACAGGGATTTGAAAAAAAATTCGAAAATAACCCATCCTCATTATCCCTCAAAAAACGGATAAATTAAACAGACTAACGAATTACGGTCAAATTAAGAAACACCCCACAATCATAAAATCATACTAAAAACAAAAAATATCATCTCAATTCAAATTCATTCAAAGGTACATGCAAAGTGGTTCAACAAATCCACACAATACCATCACAATTATGTCCCACTCCCATATATAAAGTTTGCAATTTTTCAAGATCAAATTGATATTCTAGAACCAAAGAATAAAGGCTTGTTTGGTTTGCGTTTTAAAAAATAGTATCTAAAAACAATTTTTAAAAAGAATTTTAAGAAAGTATGTTTAAATTTTTTTAGATTACAAAACCTATTTGGTTATATATTTTTTAAAATAATTTTAAAGAACAAAAATTATAAAATTTGTTTGGACAATATTCATAATTCTCACATCTCTTTCTTTTCCCTCCCTTTGTCACCACAAAACACACTCACACATCCACGCACACAGACACACACACACACAGACGCGTACACAGAGACATACATACACACACACGCGCGCGCGTGCGCACATACATGCATCTATGCTCAGATCTGTGTATATACATAGATCTGAGAAACAGATTTGTGTAGATCTGTAGTTGTTGCGAGAGAGAGAGAGAGAGAGAGAGAGAGGCCAACGCTGGACAGTGAAGAGAGAGGCAGACGTTGAGCACTGAAGCACAGTGATGACGCTAGAAAATAAGATGCTGGGCAATGTGGAGAGAGGGAGAGGAAAAAAAAAAAGAAGACGTTGTTTGCTGCTAAGAGAATTCGAAGGGCAGACCTCATTTAGTTTTTTTAGCATGTCTCCGTATTTTTAAAATTTTAAAAAAAAACTCTGAAAACACAAGTTTAACTTGTTTTCTGTTTTTGTGCTCCAAATCTCATTTTTTTAAAAAATTTTGAGAACAAAAATACTAAGCAAACAGATTTTTAGTGTTTTTAAAATTTTAAAAATAAAAAACTGTTTTGCAAATGATAACCAAACATGCCCTAAATATTAGAAAGAACTGTTCCAATTGGGAATTAAAATAAATAAAGAAATCTATTTTCAGACAAACAAATAATTTCAGATTTTTTAAAAAGAAAAATTAAGACATAAAAATTATATTTTCTTATTTTAATTTCATGGTCTAATTCTAATAATTGTTGTAAGATAAAACTCATACAAATCTTATTTTTTACTTTTTTGTGCACCGAGTTTCATTTTCAAGTAAATGAAACCAAACAAAATACCAAAAAATAAAGATATGCTAAATCACAAATGAAGAAATGAAATTTATTAATGTCAATGTCTCATTAACTTAATCAAACACTTGAACATAAACATTTTTTAAATCAATACCATTCACTTAATGTTTTAATAGGTAAGAAATAAAAGTTGTGGGTGAAGCTCTAGTTGCATTTGTAGTTCCATCAAATTGATGTGAAGTTACAAAAGAAGCTGTTGCAAAGGAGTTATCAATCATTCTAACTTTGTTTTAGAAAGTACAATAAAGATTAAATTTTTGTTGCATCCATAATTGTAAATAGACAAGTGAATATATACTAGAAAGCTAGATGAATAAAATAAATTTCAAGACATCTATCAAACAACTAAAAATATTTAAGCATAAATTATATCAAGGTTAAATTTCAAGACTTATATCAAGCTTAAAAACACACAAACGGTTGTGGGTGAATATGCAAGACTTGCAATTAAGTATAAATTCAAAATTTAACGCTTCAGGAAAAAACACATGCAACATTTAGTAGAAAATTATGGAGGCAAAAAAGAAAAATTTTGTGTTTTGGGTTTCTATTTCTTCTGTTTTCTGGTTACCGACAAAAGAAGAAGTCTTATCGGACGTAATAACGAAACTTCACAAATTCAAAGCCTTATTTATAGTATTTCCATGCATTTTCTCATTAATTAAATTATCTGGAGTTCATATATCCTAAATACAATAAAAGATAAATAAAAACTATGGAAATTCACTTACCCAGGTCCTATTTGCCAATGTTTTTGTGAGGTATTAGTGTTTAGATGAATAGCGTTGGCGGGGGGGGGGGGGGGGGCTTGGAGTAGCAGCACTAGGGTAGGAATTTGGGAGACATGGTTCTTAGTATGGATAAAAGATCGCTGACGAGAGGAGAGATTTGGGGAGACGAGTGTTTCAGTATGAGAAAAGAGATTATCGAAGAGAGGAGAGCGTGAGAGTGGGGTTAATTATTTAGGTCTCAGTATGGCAAGGAGATCACCAAAGAGAGGAGAGCGTGAGAGGGATTTCAGTTACATGTGTCTCGCGACAAAATATGTCGGAAGAGAAATGAGAGAGATGACAAATTTGGGAGAGATTTGTGGGGGGAGATAGGGATGCGCTAATTTGGAAAGTAGAGGAGGCGCAGAGAGGTCAAAGTGACATTTCCTCTGACGTACTTTCTCAGCAATTCTCTTTTTGACGAATCACATACTATCCATTAAAATGAAATTTATCATATACAAGTATATCTCTCACTCATCAATAATGAACTTCAACCATTAACAAATAGATGATGTGCTAAGAAGAGAATTGAAGAAAAAATGTATTAGAGGGAATCTAAATCCTACAAACGTGAGGTTGGGTAAATTAGAGTCGTTAGTTTGAAAAACCGTTTTGGACAAGAGAATTTGAGAGTGAATTTGATCAGTCGGATCAATCTTTTTTGAATTGATTTGATCTACGAAAAGCTCAAGCTAATGTAGTCTGTCAGATTTAACCTCTTTTTAACTAAAAATTAATTTTAATTGGTTTTAATTTTAAAATTTAGAATATCTTGTACTTTATTATATAGATATGACAATGTAATTAGGCACGTTCACATGACTCATTAATTTGAATAGATTTATCATAATTAATATAAAACTCACTAATTCTGTATTAATTTCATATTTAACAAATTGTGTCTCAAATTTATGGATTGAGATATTTTTTATTATATATTCAGGCGCGATTTTACTAAATAATGTTTTGCCTTCATGAGGTGAAGGGTTTAAGTCTTTCTCCCTCTCCAAAAAAAAAAAAAAACTTAAATAATGTATCACTGAATTTAATTAAGATTTATTATTTATAAATAATTAAAAAAAATAAAAAATCAGTGAAATTATAATAGAAGGAACATTCCGAAATTATTTTTAACCGTCCGATGACCTTATATTAACGAGACATTGTCAGCTCAGCTCTGACTCAACTCTTTTACGAGAAGCCAAAGCTAATTCTCTTACATAGACACGTAAACGGCGGGTTCTTTTCTTCTCCTATTCATTATCCGATTATCTCTCTCCCTCTCTCTCTAACATCAAAACAAAAACCCTAACTATTAGATTCGATTAGATTACGAATCTTTAAATTAATCTCATTCAAAAAATTTCCTGTACAAATTAGTCGAAAATTGTTGGTTTTCATATTTTTTGATTCGTTTGTTTGTTAAGAAGAATTATAAATAGTTAAATACAACAAGAAGTTTTGAATATTGTTGTGTTTTGGAAGTTCTGTGAAAAAAATTCACTGTTCTTTTTTTGGTGTTTTGTGAGTTCTTTAGAGGAATTTCGATTCCTTTTTCGTGTTTTGAAAAATTTAAGACACTATAGAACACGACGGATAAGAATTGAAGCGTTTTGTTTGGATTTGGAGGGGTTAGTTTGTTCGTTTTGTGGGGATTTTCGGAGTCTTCTGGATGCTTTCAGCGTTGGAAGAAGAAAACGGAGACACCTGTGAGGTAAAGAGTTCGCGAATTCCTGGACTGTGAGTCTGTGACTTTGTGAGAGTCTTTAAAGGGAACAGCCTGGGGTTATGATCCTCAGGATAGAAATAAGGTTTAATTGTTTGGAGAATCATCGGAAAAGTTGTTTCAGTTCTGTGTTACCTTCATTGTTTTTGGGGGTTTGGGGATGAGGAATGATGGGCAGAAGCCTCAGGGAGGAGTGCCCAGGCCTGGCCGGAACAATGGGTTGGTCAATTCTTCGTTTCGTGCTCTTTCGAGTTATCTGAAGATTGTCCAGTCTGGTGCTTCAACCGTTGTGAGGTCTGCCGTGTCGGCTGCTTCTACGATTGCGGATAGGGATAGTGATAACAGCCATGATCAGGTACGATTATCTAGTACGGAATTCTTGTACTTAGCTTTGTTTTAGAGACACTTTGGATCTTGGACCATTTTTATGTTTTTTTCATTCTGGTAGTAAATTCCTGAATGCAATTATTTGCTAGTTGCCTAATTAAAGGAGCAATCTTTATGTTCAGAAATGAAAAAAAAAATGCTATCCTACAGTATTGATATGGATTGATCTGTTATTGGATTTTTTTAACGTTATTTGGCAACAAGTTTCTGTATGCAGTTATTATTCCAGTCAAAGTTGCACTCTTTGTACCATGGAAAAAGAAAAAATGATATTGCATGATTATAGTTGGATGCATAATTGGATGTGTTCAATGATAGTTGGCTGTAGGTATCTGCATGCTCTTATTTGATGGCATTATAATAAATTTTGTGTTCTTTATATTTAACCAAGGAAAACTCTTTGAGTGAGTGAAGTTTTGAAGTGATGGTTAGAATGGGTGTATCAGATGATACAGTTTAGAACTGTGGCTCAAGAGTATCAAGAGGTTCTAGGATTATGAGGATAGGCTCGTTATGCAATGCATGCCACTGTTCATCATGGTAATGAATTTTGCACGAGATATGGAGACTCTTTTATCTTATTGGATGGAGGAGGTTGTCATGTATGCAAGTTTTGTTTGTTTTTGTTATACGAACTTGGTAGGAATAGTTAGTTATAGGGAAAAGAATAGTAGTCTTGTGGAAGTATTGATGGAAATTGTGTATTGGATAATCCACTTTGTTGTGTCTGTATAAGGATCTCCATTTGAACTTTTATAGGACTTGGCACGTGTTTATTTTAATGATCCTACGAATTTCCATAGGTATGCGAGTTTTGATTGTCGAGGATAACTTCTGTCAGATTTGCAAATTTTTACCACATTTTTATTTCTATAATACGACAAGTTTTAGGTCGGGCTGTTTGGATGTGAAAGTGGACTTACCACGTGTTTGTTATGAGTGTTATACGGTTTGGTTACTTGCTGGTGAGGTATTGGGATCTTTTGTGTTGGACTTTCGTGGGTGTTTATCACATATTGTTTCTGTGAATCAACAAGTTTTGACTTTTGAGTGTTTAAGGTTGTTTCTATGACCATGTCCAAGGAAAATCCAAACCCTTACCTCAATTTGAGGAAAAGCAAAGGTAAAAAACTTGATTTGGTATAGACCTCTCTAATGAAGAAATTTAAATTTAAAGCAAGAGAAATCCAAATTTAAATAAGGATAAACTCAAATTTAAAACCGAGTAGAATATGACAATCGAATTTTTAAAGGAGGATGAAATCTGACCATTAAAGATTTGGATATAGATTTGTGTCTTCCTTAATTTGAGTAAAAAAATGAGTCTCCCTTGATTTGATATGATTATAGATCTAGCATTGGAGAAGGTTTTTAGGAATTTTTTACCCAAATTTAAATTTGGGTTTCAAAATAGTGAGGATTGAAGATGCTCTAAGAAAAAATAGTCAGTTTTAAGTTTGCTAATTTTTTTTTTTTTCGTTTTGTCAAATTTGCCGAAATTTCTCCCTCATTAGTCTTTTTTCAAAAAGTTTTTTGCTGACAATCTTCTTAAATGCTTTTTCTTTATGTAATTCCTATCTTGCCAATTATCAGCATCACAGTTTTCTGAAGTCTTATTCTAATGATTAACTCTGTGGACTACTGCTTAGTAACTAGTCCTGTGACAGAGGAGTGGATCACTTAAAACACTGGAGTCTGGATGCCTATAAGCCCCTCTTGGATTTTGGATTTTATCTTGCTTGTCCATTTGTACAAGGCAGTATATCGATAAGTTTGATGATATTATTTCTTTCTGTATACTTGCAGGAGTATTCTCATTTTTTCATCACTTTCTCTTATTGGAGTCTTAAATGTTTATGCTTGCCCATTTTTGGGCCTTATGTGCTTTTGACAAAGTCTCCCTGTTTTATTTTTCTTCTTCTTCAATGTTAAGGTTGGAGGTGTAGTTTCCATTTCACAGGATACCATTGAGTCTTGAGTTCCTTTTATATGATAATTTTTAGCGTTCTGACTACATTTGTGCTTGTTTCACTCATCTCCCTACACAGTCTCAGTTCTCCTTTGTCTGGTTTCTTACTAGGTTGTTTCTGACGCATTCCTCCGTGAGATGTTTTAACTCAACTTTTGAATATTGAAGAAATTTGCACTCCAGAATCACAGTCTAAATGCCCAAGTTGGGGCGCTAGAATGTGTAAGGGTGAAATGGGTTTTGGACTTTTTGAAACATGGTCTGAAATTAAGAACGGATCATGCAATAATCAATACCATCCCCTCTTCCCTTAGCCGAACAATTCATTTTGAATGACTATCAAGAGGTTCTGGTTTAGAATGGTTAGATCTAAGACTGAGCGAACATAATATGTCCTTTGGAATGCCATTTTTGCTGAAGTTTTTAATGTTTCATATCTTCCCTTGATCAAGCTAACGGTTTCTAGAAATTCATATACTAAAGAAATACAATGCCATCGCTTAGGTTCATTTTTATAGACATGTCTTGAGTGCATGTGTGTGTAGAATTGCCCTCGTACTTCATTCATGGTTGTTAACATGTAAAATGTGACGGTTAAGGAGCTTTAAATTTTTTTTTTTAATGCATCCTTTGTGGGTTTGCATAGTCAATGATGAGTAAGATATACAAGGCTTGAACTTATCTGGTCTTCGCTATCAACTTATAGTTTATGGTTTAACATATTTAACTCAGGAGTGTTTTGGAATGTTAGAAGGGACTAAAAGTCAAGGAGTAGGTATTTTTCTGAACTGAACTTGCCGGTTCAGAAACCATACTCTGTCTGCGTGTCTTGCTTAACCAAAATTGTTGTGACCGGATGTTTCCGATGCCTATATGCAGTGAATTTTTCAGGAAAATTGCAAGTAATATTTTAATTATTAATGAGAAAATGCAGAAATATGGACAAAAAATTGCAACAATTTGAAGGATTAGCAAGTTGTAGTTTTCTTTACATCTAACCTATTGGAATTGTTTGGTTTAGAACATAATTATTGAATGTTGGACTTCATCTTTTTATATGTTTCCTATTTAGTAAAATTATGGTCACACCATTGTTCAATTTCATTCCTCATTAATATGTGCTATTCTGCTTCAATATGTGTATCTTTGCTTGTTATTGATTCTGTCCATATAATTTACTCAATTAGTATTTGGATTGTTCATTTATCCTTTCACTCACGTATTCGGTCGGGAGTTGTTACTTCCTTAGTTTGTTTAACAAATCAGGCTAGAATTTTTCGCATTTGAAAGTTCATTTATTTTATGTGGTGGTGATGACTCATTTCATGCTCTATTTTAACAAAATAAAGGTGCACTGGGCTGGGTTCGACAAGTTAGAATGTGAGGGAGACATCACTCGGCAAGTGCTCTTGCTGGGTTATCGGCATGGTTTCCAGGTTTGGGATGTTGAAGAAGCAGATAATGTGCGGGACCTAGTTTCTAGGCACGATGGTCCTGTTTCATTCTTGCAAATGTTACCAAGACCAATTGCATCAACACAATCTGGAGATAAGTTTGCAGACAGTCGTCCATTGCTGGTAATTTGTGCAGATGGATCTTTTTCTGGAGGTGGTAACACTCAGGAGGGTCTGGCCACAGCTTGCAATGGGAGCATCCAAAATTGCCATGATTCATTGAATGCTGCTTTTGTGCCTACTGCAGTTTGGTTTTATTCCTTGAAATCTCAATCTTATGTGCATGTGCTAAAGTTCAGATCAGTTGTTCATCTGGTAAGGTGCAGCTCTCGAGTTGTTGCCGTTTTACAATCGGCTCAGGTATGATTGCTCATGCTCTTCTAAGCTCCCATATTTTTTGTATTATATGAGTTTGAGACAATGCTATATTATATATGTCTACAGATCCACTGTTTTGATGCTGCAACTTTAGAGAGGGAGTACACTATTCTTACTAATCCTATAGCTCCTGGTTCTTCTGGATATGGAAGTATAGGCTTTGGACCTCTTGCAGTAGGCCCTAGGTGGATGGCTTATAGTGGAAGTCTAGTAGCAGTCTCAAATTCTGGACGTGTCACTCCACAACATCTTACACCATCTGTGAGTTTCCCTGGTCCCGTTTCAAACGGGAGCCTGGTTGCACACTATGCAAAAGAATCAAGCAAGCAACTTGCTGCTGGGATTGTCACCCTAGGGGACATGGGATATAAGAAGCTCTCCAGGTACTACTCCGAGCTTTTACCAGATGGCAACAATTCGCTGCAGTTGGGGATTCCTCGCTTGAAAGCCCAAGGAGTTCCTATCGGCCATTTGCCTGATGCAGATAATATTGGAATGGTACCTTTCTTATGAAGTATTGTTTAGTTTGTGATTTCATAAAAACCTGAATTTGACAGCTGTCTCTTGCTTTTACTTGTTCTTCCGCAGTTGTCTGGATCATGAACTTAGCTCTTCCTTGCTTTACATAAATTAATTGTTTGAAGTGTGTAATTAATGTTGATTTGTTTCTTCCATCATCTAAAGTAGATTCAATATTGGTAAATATTGGCCAGACAAGGGTGGTCATGATATCTAAATTCTATTTGTATTAATTTACCAGGTCATTGTTAGAGATATTATCAGCAAATCTGTTATTGCCCAGTTTAGAGCACATAAGAGTCCTATTTTATCGTTATGCTTTGATCCCACTGGGACCCTTCTGGTGACAGCTTCGGTTCAGGGTCATAACTTCAATGTTTTTGGAATAATGCCTGGAGCGTCTGGAAATTCCTATGGTTGTGATTCGGGTGCATCTTATGTCCATCTTTATAGGCTGCAACGAGGTTTTACAAATGCAGTAAGAGCAGTATATTTTTTTTACTCTAGTACTTGAATTTTTTTTTTTACAATAAAAAAGGAATTTTTTTGAGTTTTCATGTTTCTGGCAATACTTTTCCCAGGTTATACAGGACATCAGTTTCAGTAAAGACAGCCACTGGATTATGATTAGTTCCTCTAGAGGGACAAGTCATCTGTTTGCTATATCTGCTTCAGGTGGATCAGTTAATTTTCAGGGTGGCGATGCTTGTTCTGGTGACAGGAACAGTGTATCTGGTGTGACGCCAAAGCCTACAGTTTGTGGGCCACCAGATTCAGGCTTACAGATGTGTAATCAACAAAGCCTCTGTACATCTGGCCCTCCAATTACTCTTTCTGCTGTAAGCAGAATAAGGAGTGGAAATAACAGTTGGAAAAGCACTGTAACTGGTGCTGCTGCGACTGCTGCGGGTAGGTTCAGTACCCCCTCTGGGGCTTTTGCTTCGGCTTTCCACAGCTGCAGAGGCAATGATTTGTTTGTGGATACCAGCTCTCTGAAGGCAAACTATCATCTGCTGATTTTCTCTCCTCCTGGTTGTATTGTACAATATGCACTGCGTGTATCTTCTGGACAAGATTCTGTTCCCGCTGTGCCTGTATTAAGTGCTGCTTATGAATCAGATCTGGAATGTGATACAAGATTAGTCATTGAGGGAATCCAGAAGTGGAATATTTGTCCGAAGCAGAATCGTAGAGAGCGAGAAGATAATATTGATATATACGGGGAAAATGGAAATACAGACAGCAGTAAAGTATTTCCTGAAGGGACTAAAAAGGAAAATAGAGTTTACCCTGTGGCTATGGCAGAAAAAAAGATCAGTCCCGAGGAAAAACAACATATGTATATATCTGAAGCTGAGCTGCAAATGCATCAAGCCTGGATTCCATTGTGGGCAAAGCCAAAGGTATTTTCCAAGTGGAAACTTGATGCATCTCTTCCATCAGTGTGATAAGTGACATTTTTGTTCTTGGATTATTTCTTGTCAGATGTACTTCCAGTCTCTGGTGACTGATGGCATCAAAGTAGGTGAAGAAGATGCTTCAGGAGGAGAAATTGAGATCGAAAGAATCCCTACTCGCATGATCGAAGCGAGGTCAAAAGATTTAGTTCCCGTGTTTGATTATCTTAGAGCTCCCCCTTTCCGACAAACCAGGTGTGTGGGGTTCTGCATATCTATTTCTCTCAGTAATGTAAGGATTGAGGCATTGCTCACCTTGTATGAGATTCTTGCTTTTTGGTATTTTAGCTAGAGGACGCTTTTCAATTAGTTATTGGTTTATTTTTCCCCCCATTTACTGGAGGGTCGAAAAAGTTTGTAAGCATCGGGCATTCATCAATTTTTGATGGGATCCATCGATGTCTTGGTTCCTTAATGTCTAATTCTCTGTCATTAATTTGATTTTGTTTTTTATTGCTTCTTTTATTCTTCTGCATGTACTCTTTTGACTTGTATATGTTTTAACAGAGTTTTCATATTCATGTTTCTAAAGTACCATGTTCCTTCGTGTTCAGGACTCCTGCTTTGGATGGGACTAATAATGGGCGACCGCTGCATCAGAGATCTAAGCTGTCTGAAAATGGCAGGCTTACACGCAGGAGCAGCAGTGACTCTCTTGATGGCACTTCTGATGGTGGCGTCACCGGTGCTGAACTTCACAACAGTATTGAAGAAACTGGCTGGCATGGTCTTCTGATGCCAACAGAAACAACCAAGGGCTCTGTAACTAATAGTGACAGCCTTAAATAGCACTCGGCTTTTGAGACTGTAAATAATAGAGTAAGCTCCATGAGGGAGACCCAATTTAAGTTTGTAAATAATAACTTAGAGGGCCTGAAAATGGAGAATCAATATGAAGATGAAGGTGATGAATTTGATTAGAGGTAAGGTCCCAAATCCAACCTTTTATATTATGCTTCGAAAATATTAGTTTTTCACCATATGTAAATTTTGGTGTTATCTCACTGAATCAATTATACTATTAAATCCAGTTGCACAATTACAACTCTACCCAACAGTATTTTCCATATGGGGTTGGTTTACTTGGACACTCGAAAGATTTCTGTATCTGTTTGATACTTGGACAGACTGCTGTCTTTATGCTCCACAGGACATTTTCTCTAGTGTATTTGTCAGAGGGAAGACTACAAAAATTATAGGCAACACTTAGATTTACATTTTTGTTTGTGACTTTGGTTTATATGATTTTAGTCACATGTTTTTGTCTATAATTTTTGTTTAGCTGTCTTATGCTTTCTTGATTTCTGAGGTCTTTATATCTGATGTCCGTGGACACTTGGCAAATAGGCTTCAGTGTCATACATACCGAGCCTCCTAAACATGACATAGAAATTATATGGATTTGTGAATGCCCTCCTTCCTTCCTCCTTCTGCTCCAATTCGAGAAAGAATGATGGGGAAGGGACAGTTGTTGAGAAATCAGGTGTTTCATTTGGAGTCCCCGGGTGATATATCATGCACATTCCCACTTGCAATTTTTAAGTCGCCTAGGTGGTGGATCCCTATGGTTACTTTTGTAGTGGTGCACACATATGGGCATCCTATTTCTTTGTTTCTCTCTCCTTTTTTTTTTCTCAGTAGAATTTGAAGTAAATGTATACTCCTAAGTGATTTTTTGAGATCATGCATTTTTTGAGTTTATGTTTTGCGTATTTGATTTTTCTCAGGTGTGCAGCTATTCTTTTATTCTCCTGGGAGGTTACTTAACTGTTAATATCGTGGTTGGAAATTAAAGAGTCAAGCACCATGTCCTTTGCTGCTTGACTGTTATGAAGAATTCTGGATACCGTGTTGCTGGAGTTGAATCTTTTGTTCACTTTGTAAATAAGAGACTTCGACTATATATACAATAATAATCTGCTGTAATATGTAAATAATAGCATGTCTTACAACTTTCCTCACAGTGTTTGTTCCCTGCTCACTGAATCTAAATTTTATGTTGCCATTCTTTTGCGCTTGCTTTGGTGGAAAACTCAGCAGTGGTATCATATTGAGTGCATCGCCATTTCAGCAAGACATTGTCTCTGAGGATTCAAGCAAGTGCTTTTCGGTACTTTGATATCACTTTTTGTTTTTTTGATTGTAAGTTGCCAAGATCTATTGTTTGTTTGAGTGTATTTGTATATGACAGGTACATTGCTTCTTAACGGAGAATGCCCTGATTCTGAACGAGGGAAACGTGAGTTTCATCCTCAGGCCGTGTTCTTACTGTTCCTTTTGGATTGTACACGAAAGGATGATTTGAATATGAGAGCCATTGAGGACTGTGATGTGTCAACTACCAACTGGTTCAACCCATGCGTGTGGTCGAGGGTTGATCTCCTTTGTCGAGGGAGACTATTGTAATTGCCTTTTGTTGGAGGATAATTAAGTATCGTGTAGAGCTCTCCTCTCTACAGCTCTATGTATTCTCATTTCTTATGTATGATTAAGAAATTTGTTTATATGTCACTGATTCTGGTTTGGGAACATTTCTACCACTTCCTCTCTCAAACCTCGGAATGGGTGGGAGCCTTGTGCAAGTATATAACTTATTTTTCAGTTCTTAGAGGGCCGTTTTTGATGTTTGTAAAGTAGCTCCATTTTGAGGTGAGCTCTTGGATTCAAGTTGCGAAAATAGTCTCTCTTTATACCATGATTTGGATTACGAGATAAAACTTCGTGTAATAGTCTTTGGGACATAATCTTTCTCCAAAACATTGAGGCTTTGTTGAAATCTGATGCTGTTATTGATGTAAGGATAATTACAGCAAAGAGTTCAAGCCATAGCCATTTATATCTGCTGAACCATGGATTAAAATCATCATTTATTAGAAAGAAAGAAGAAATCGAAAAACATCTCACATGTTTGTGTTCATAAACATAACAAAAGAGATTGTTGACAACTTTAGGGGTCACAACCCCCCCCCCACCACAACCAATACTTGGCTAGAATTCTGGACCCAGATGAAATATGGCCTCATCTATTCTTGTATCTGTAAAGACTAACAACCTGTTTTTTTCTCACGTTTCTAATCGCAATTGTAATATACGTTGGGATAGAAGGGAAATTTGTCTGGTGCAGTGATGGAAGTGTTGAGTCAATTTAATGTGCTGCTATGTTTGGGATCGATTTCATAAATTCTGTTTTGCCATTAAGCTCTATTAAAGTCATGCTTTCAGTTAAAGTATGTGGGTAGCTACTCTAAAGAATTTTAAAGGATAAGTTTGAGTAAATCAAAGATATCAAGCTCCACAACTAAAGCAAAGGAATAACCAAAAGCCAAACGGACACAAGCAACACTATTATAATGACAAATTGGTCCAGACACCAATAGGACCATCACAAAAGAATCCACACCCCAATAAGAAAATCACACAATAACACCATGAATACAAGTGGGGAAGTCGGACGAGAAAAGAAAACCACAGGATGAATACGAAAATGCACACAAATGTTTGCTGCCACAGCCCACAGGAGGTTTCATGATCACTTTCAGAAATAGCAAATGTTGTAACCTCTACAAAGCTTTTGAAAGACAGATTCCTCACAACTGGGCAAGTGAGAACAGGTTTGGCTGATTCAAAACCATCTCGTTCCTGGGCCTTGTACACACCGAGTGTCACACTATGGGATTTAGTAATGCCCAAAGTCATTACCATAATCACGATGAGGGGGATGCTGAAGGCAGAGCTAGTTTAAGGTAGACTGGAAAACCAAGAGACCTTAATTGAGAGCAATCACAAAGGGGTTTACCATAATAGGTGTGAAGTAATGCTGTAGACTAGATTTCGTATATTCATCGTCCCACTCCAGTTGGCTCCACCATTGCTGTTCTCCTCTTATTTCTTTCATGTTGTTTGCCCTTTGGATAGTGAGAGGCAACTTCCTGAGAAGATTGCAATCAAGAATTTCAAGCTGCTCTAAACTTGGCCATGACTCATTTTCTTTGCAAAGAGTTTTCAAATTGGGAAGCTTGTTCAATTCCAACATCCTCAGGTTTGGAACAACAGGATCCAAAGCCATTATCTGTCTTGAAGCATCATATCTAAAGAACTCTTCCAATTTCTCACAGGACTTCAGTTTGATTTCTTTCAGTTCTTCCAAAATTTGAATTGAGCCACCAATAGGGAGAAGATACTTCAAACGGGGGCACCCTATAACTTCTAACAATCGTAGTTTAGAAAACCTGAGTCCGAGAAAATCACCTAAATCTGAAATGCTCTCCAGAAAATCAAGAGAATAGAGATAGAGATGCTCTAGATTTGGTAGCAGGTCAAACTGTGAACCACCTCTTCCTACTCCAGGCTGAAAACCATACTTAGATTTTCCGATAGTTAGTGACTTCAAACCCGCAAAGGAACCAACAGTATGACTAAGCATGGCCAAATTTTCAAGCATCAGATTAATATAAGAACAACCATAGATATCCACGGAAGTTGCATTGATTAACAGCCACCAACTCTGTCTTACTGCTGAGAGATTGTAGTTTTTGAGACTCAAATGCCTCCTAACAAAATGTCGCGGCCTGATGAAGGCCCTTTCAGAATTTTCAATTGCATTATCTCCAGGACCATAATCCTTAACAAAAACGCCAAATTTCCTGAGCCGTCTAATCCAAGTTATATAGTCTTCAGAACTGGAATGTGGGATGATTGACAAGTCAATGTACAAAACAATTAACCTCTCGAGATGTAGGAGCTCCTCAAATGGAGCTTGTCCCATTTCCACCTTTTCTTTCGCCCCCCACCAGTAACCACTGCGCCTCATGTTCAGAGACTCCAAATTAGACAGCCTGTATAGAGCTCCCGCACGAATGGTTTTCAAATGGGGAGTGTAGGATAGGTCTAGTTGCCTTAGGTTGGTTAAATTTTCAATCCCTTCTGGCAATGCCTTGATGCGAGTACCACAACAATCAAGTATTTGCAGTTTACCAAGCCCTTTTAGTGGAGGTAATTCTTTAAGATCACTACAACCACTTAAAATGAGAGCCCGAAGTTCACCAAGTTGGAGAAGAGAAAGAGGCAATGATTTGATGCAGCTTCCACTAAGATCCAACACTCTGAGCACTTGAAATCCTTGCAGGAAACTATACGGGACCTTCTCAAGGAACCGACTACCTCGGAGAAGTAAAGTTGTTGCCTGAGAACATTGCAGCTCCCAGTCAGGTAACTTAGTCATTTCATTATTCACGAAAGACAGTCTCCTGGAAGACTTCAGTAAGTCATTCTCTGGCCAATGCTTCAAGGCAATTCCTGACCGAATGAATGACTTACTTCCATCCTCCATGGAGCATGCAATCCATATCGCAACATCACGAACCACATCATGCATCTTTACAGTGTCAACTTGGGCACCAAGATCCAACAAACAAGAGTCCATTAGGCTCTCGATTATCGCCATTCCCCGGTTTTCTAGTTCCTCATAATTTTGGTGTTCATCCAGCAAACCCTCCGCAAACCAGAATCTTATAAGTTCACTAACCTCAATTGAAAAGTCTTCCGGATACAAACAGCAACAAAGAAAACAAGTTTTGATGTGCTCATCTTGTAATGAATCATAACTCCACTTCAGTGGCGTAAATACCTTCTTCTCAATCCCTTTGATAGGCTCGGACCGTCGGAGAGCAGTCAAAGCATCATGCCATAGCTCAACCTTTGCCTTCCCCCTCATGGAAGCCCCCACAGTGATGATTGCTAAGGGCAATCCACAACATTCCTTGGCAACTACAACTGCTACTGATTTAATGGGTTCTGCCATGGCTACCTTGCCAGCATTTTGACAGAACAATTGCCAAGCTTCTTCTTCATTCAAGACATCAACTTTGATATCAACATCAGTAGTCATCTGGGCACATACTTCTTTGGTTCGAGAGGTTAGTATGATCTTACTACCCTTGTGAATTTCAGGGCGTGGAACACCCAGAAGGTCCAAATCGATGGCATCCCAAACATCATCAAGAATGAGAAGAAACCTCTTCTCTTTCTCAAACCTTTCATACAGTCGAATCGCCATTCTTTCCGGGCTTTCTTCCACATTTGTCAATTTAAGTCTCTCAGCAAGTTGCAATTGGACCCTTTTCAGGTCGAAATCTTTAGACACAGTAGTCCAAATGATGATGCTAAAAGGTTGAACCGATGAAGGGCTTTTGAGCTTGTTATTCAAGTTCTTCACCAGAGTAGTCTTCCCCACTCCTCCCATACCCCAGACACCGATCCTCCCAAACTCATCGTTCCACAGACAATCCATAATCATGGCTAAATTTTTGGATGCTGTTGATTGACCTTCAATTGATGGCCCTGGGATATGCTCAACTGGTACTGGCAAATGGTTAGCAATTACAATTCCTGCCGGAAAATCGGCATCTTTTAGTAGTTGAGCAACTTCGTTGAGCTTGTCCACCACCTGCTTGCTTAATTTACACCGGACACCGCAGTTTGAACAACACCCAGAAGCATTGTTGGTGCTGTCTTCCATAGCTGTTCTCATGGAGTTCATATCAGCCTCCATCTTGTTGACCTCGCTTAGCCATCTCACGACTTGAGCTGTTGGCAATTTTCCTTGTTTGTCACCAGTTTCGATTTGTTGTTCCACATCATCTTTCCGCGTCTTCAGTTTCTCCATCTCCTTCTCCAGAGCATCAAGGTTCGATCGAAACTTGGAGAAATTGCGTATCTTAGAGTAGATAGAACCGCAGAGAATTCGACTACCGTCTCCTAGTAACGAACTCGCGAATGAAACTAGTATTTCCATGGCGGAATTACAAGGAAAAAGAAAGAAACTTGAGGATTCCGAAAGGCAAGAAAATGCAGAGAATTCAATTTTTTACAACTTTTTCAGCTACGATTATCTGAAACAACAAAAACTGATCACCAAGCCATTGATTTCTCAGTTTTAAACGCAGATTAGAGCTATCAAATCAAGTGGGTCAACTGAACTCTGTGCATAGAAAATGCGAGAAAATTGCAATGAACCTTCCTGCAATACCATTTCCACCAGCTACGGTGGTGTAGAAATAGAAGCCACTCCTCCATGTCAACGTCTGTATAACTAGACCAAGTAATTCCATGGTGGTTTACCCTTGTACCCGCGTAGGCCGACACTGGAGAATTTTCAACGGTTATGTTCATCCAAGGTTCAATCCCCTCAAAGAAAGAAAGCGTTACAAGGAGGTATACCGTCATATTTTCGTTTTCGATTGGTCGTCCGTTTATTTTGCGCAAATCAATCGATGAATCAAAAATCATAAAACAGATAAATGACTAAATAAAATTAAGACAATGGAACACATTATAATATTTTTTATTTTTATTCTTTAAAGTGCATGTTGAAAAATTGAAGAGTAATGTTATATATATATTTAAAA